CTTGTAATTGGACAGTGTAATAGGATAGTTGAAACGTCATGCCCGTGTAAATGGACGGTACGCGTCATGTGTGTGGTCGTGCATTTCGCTGAATTAACTGTTTTTTTTATGAAAAAGTATAAGCGATGTCTAGTTTATTTCTCAAATTTTTCATAATTTTTATTGGCTGGTAACGGGACTTCGAATCGTCCAATTCTGTCTGAAATCATACTCGTGATTAGTAGATCTGACTCCCACTTCTCGGTCGTCTGATTTGGATAATCACTCGTAAGATAACGGACCGAATTGGACTCCACTCGGTCCTATTACCATTAGTAATCAAGCTGATTGACCAGCTAACCTCGTGGGACCGCCTGACGGAATTTAGAGTCAGACTGCATCTTTAATACCCGGTTTAAATGACCTCAACGGTTTGGTCCACCTGGCCGCATGACTATCTACAAACCAATCAACTGACAGACGGACCACCAGACAGATGGACCTGGACTGATAAAACAGATGGATAAATCCAAATTCAGATTCCAATACCTGTTGTGATGAGACATACAGACAGACAATGACATATAGGTTTAACAGGCAGCATAGATGGAATACGGATGCGGGATCGAACGGACGGAAAGAAATGCAAAAGGGAGTAAGTTTCTGCTGCGTCGATGGGAGAGTATAACAGGGTAATTTAGTTTTACCAACTGAGTTGATAGCGTAAATTGGCCACCGTAAAGAGTTTAATTTAAAAGCTGACGTTTCGAGCATTAGCCCTTCGTCTAGGCGATTGTTTCGAATGTTTCGCTCTGACAAAGGGCCATTGTTCGAAACGTCAGCTTTTAAACTCTTTATGGTGGCCAATTTACGTTATCAACTCAGTTGTTAATACTAAATTACCGGAAAGACAAATAGACAGACTAAACAGATAAGAGAGATATTTGACAACCAGTCCATTAATCAATGGTGAGTTGGTGAGGTAGCTGAATAAGCAATTCAGCTCTTTTATTATGTAAGTCTTAGCCCTAGTCCTAGTCTTAGTCGATAGCCCAGGTCTGTGGATTCCATTTTGACAAATTTCTCTTTCCCAACAGGCTTTCTTTCTGCTTGTAGCTGCCGCGGCCCTTGGACTTTACTTTTGGACTACAAGAACGCAAATGAGGCATTTTGCTTTGTTTGCAGCAGACATTGACAGTACCATTATAAAAGGTAATTCAAATAAAATTCATAATAAACATGACTTCTTAGCGCCTCGTTCAGAATCAAGCATAACTATAAATGGAAACAACTATAAAAATGCATGAATAAACAAGATCGCAAGAATTTCACTTAACAAAACTGCCATCGGAGCTTGCATGCTTTTATCTTTCCCACGCAAATAATCAACAGGTTATGGATTTTAAATTTGCCCAATATAGCCTCCTGGTCATCGAGGCGCTCAGTTTTTTGTCGATCATTTTCAGAAAATAACCACGTATGATAAATTTAAACTAACTCTTGATGTATAAATTTAGTTGTCCACTGAGAAATATATGTTTTCTTCGACAAAAGGTGCATCTGCAGATGACACGACATTTTCTTCTAAGTTACCACTATCAACCACTGCTCCCAAGCTTAAAAGTGTCACTACGAGCCCTGAAAATTGGTGGGATGAAGTGGAGGGAGAAAGCATAACTGAAAGCGCTAAGAACACTGTGATGCAGGGACCTACTGGGAATATTTCTGAGGATATGTCACATGAGATGGACAATGAAACTAACAGTTTCGATCAGCTTTGGGATTCTGCGTCTGAAAGCGAGCCACTTCCCAGAAAGAACACCGAGAAATCTTTACCTCCTTTCACCGATGTTCTGAAGGAATCTTTGAGGGAAATGTCTCCATCTTCTAACATCGGGAATGCCAGTAATAAACATGATGTGCCTAGCAAGTCGCAAACGATAGATGGCCGCAATCGTGTGGTTAGCGAAAGAGCTAACGTCTTTGAGACATTGTTTGAAGAAGACTGGGAAGGTCCAGGGGAGTTTCCGATAGGGACGGCTTGTCCATATATGGGTATGAGAAAATTTAAAAGCACGAAACAGCAGATGAAACAGAAAGAGAACGTATCATGCGTTGCACACGTATCGACGGATGAGGACTGTCAAAAGGCAAATAAAGAATACAGAAACCACCAAAAAATTCCTCAGTGCAATGAAGGGCCTGGGAAAGATATTTGCTCAATTGAAGAAACATGGCGAGCAAGTCCCGAAAGTAAGCTAACAATTCAATGTGACCTATCAATTTGCAAGGGACATCCCGTGAGCGTCACGGGAATTCACCCGTTGGAGGGCGTGGTGGACAAAGAGAAAGAGGGATATACGTTTAACAATTCCACGGCTCTTGAAAGATTTCTGGGACACTTTGTAATCGTGAACACGTTACGCAAATTTAGCTTCTGCTTTCTTCGATGCAAAACAGGGCGTAAGAAATACGCCCAGCAAATCCTGATGTTTCCTCCGTTATTAGATATAGAGGACTCAGAATTTCTACCAAATAAGAAAGACCCCAGTCTAATAAACATCAACATCGTAATGCTGGATTCAGTATCGCGCGCACATTTTTATCGTTCGCTGCCTAAAACAGTCAGCACGCTACGAAACATTGTTTACAACAAGTCAATAAACGCAACGGTGCTAGACTTCGAGTTATTGCAAAGTTCAGCGCCGTTCACCTTTCACAATATCAGAGCCTTTATGTCTGGGAAAAGCGATTTCAACTACATCGAGCATTCAAATGGCACATACCAAATAGAAGTGCTGTATAAGAAGATGAAGAACCAAGGTTATTACACTCTCTTGCAAGAGGATAGCTGCTGGTTTGACGAGTGGGGATCCTTATTCACCAACAATATATTTCAAAACAAGACACCTCACAGTCGAAAGGAATTCCAAAATCGCTGGAGCGGATTTCAGGATGTGGTAAACGGTTATCATGTGGATGACTACGGCCTTTCGTATTCATCATGTGACGTTTTCAAACAGTACAATGTAACTAACCAATTTAATCGGCCGCTCAAAATTTGCTTCGGGGGTAAAGTGTATTCCGAGCTTTTCTTGGATTATTCCCTTAGTGTCTTTCAAGGATATATTGATTCCGGTAAAAGACAACCAATATTTGCCTATACACATCTGAATGCCGGACATGAAGTAACTGGAACCCGCATAAGACAAATTGATTACGCTGTATCAGGGTATTTACACGCTATAGCGCACGAAGAAGACACTCTGACACTTGTTTTCTCCGATCACGGACCAAAAACCACGAAGTTCTCGTTCCAAACAATGGAGGGGCGAGGAGAGATTTACGATTCGTTGCTATTTGCTATAGTTCCAGAAAACGTGGCTAATATTCTAGGATTACGACGCATGCGTGCGATGATCACAAACCAGAAGCGTCTTCTAACAACTTTGGATCTTCACAACACAGTGATGTCGATCGGAGATTCTGAAAGGTCGACTTCCGATTCTTACTCAAAGGAAGGTCTCTTCTCAGAAATACCAGCCAATCGTACGTGCGCTGATCTATCGATCAAACCTTCAGCTGTTTGCAAGTGCGAGGGCTGGGACCAAAAGTTTCCTGATAATGACCCTCAATTTATATTCCTCGCCGAATTTGGTTTGGGACTACTTAACAATAAAATTCAGGATGATTATCTCACAACTCCCGATGCTGCCGGGGGGTTTGGAAAATGCCAACGTTTAGTTGGACATCGTTTTGAAAAAATACGCAGGAGGAAGGTTGGTGAAGAGTATTTTTTGACTATGGATCTAATTGTACTACCAGGGAAGGAGATATTTGAAATTTTATTGAGATACCCTTTAGGAGTCTTAGCAGAAAGGCGGAAGACTTTTCCCGCTGTAATGGGAAAGCGGAGAGTGAGTATATATCGCAAATACGAGAAATGCGTCGATGAACATGTAAAGGTGCAATTATGTGTTTGCGATTCGCATCACTATGGAAGAAACATAAGCAATAATAATGCGTGGAAATGGTTCGAGGTTAGAACCGGATCAGACGTATTGGAAACCGTGTTTAGAGCAAATAGTTTTGGTACAAACTCTGAAGTCAAAGACTTAAGTGAGTCGTGCTTGTTATTAGTAACACGGAAACGTAAAAACCTTAGCGTAGCCTTCGAAGTAGCGAACGCTTGCAAGAGGCGAAGGTACAAAGTCAGAATTACAGGGAGAGGAAACGGAAAAACCTTATTAACAAGAAAACTGCCTTTCTCTATCATGCTGGAACCAAACACAGTGCACTTTGCACTGAGCGTTCATTACGTGGAAAAACCTTACGGTTTTTACCTAAAGACATCATTTGTGGGTTATAATGTTTGACATTAGTCTGTCAGCTTATAGACCAGAAACATTAATTTAAACTTAATTCGAAAACTCATTTATTTGATAAATCAACAAAATGAAACTTTTTAAATGTTATTACCTTTGTCTAATGTTTTAAGTGTACTGTAAATAGAGCCTAAGGAACTGTAAATATATTCTATCTGTGTGATTCAAATCGATTGCTTTTTCACCTTCTACCTTTAGCTTAAACCATTTGAGTTTCATTTTATTTTTAAATTGCGTCGCTTAATTGGCTTTGTTCCTGTTATTCCTCCCGTCATATCCGTTAGTATCGGATTACCGGCTGATGAATCCGAGAGAATTCTCCGAATTTTTTAGATAATGTGGCCAAAAGTTTGCAATCAAAGGGAACTTTTATTTGAGAGAATAAAAAAAATCGACTTCTAGATGTAAAGATGACCCCCCTAATTATTTGTCGTATAGCAGGTTGTTTCTTCATTCCGCGGGCTGCTCAAGAGACATTACCACGTGACTTTGCAGGTACAACCTGTTGCTTTAAGTGATCAATCGATAGAGTAACACTGATGTGAAAAACGCTCAATCAGTTATCTAAGGTGAGCGCCGGCTTCAATTTGCATGTAATGTCTTGGAGAAGAGAGCCTAAGAATGAAGCAGCTATTAGCAATCGAGTGAGATGACAATACAAGAGCCTTGTGGGGCCCGAAAAATATTACTCAGTACATCTGTGACCGCCAGACAGACAGAAAAGAATGAGGCTTCAATCGATAGCAAGCTTGCTAGTTCTCCGCAACAAGAAGGTCAGAAGATTATCCTTAATAAGGTGTCTTTTATCTAAGCTTTTTAACGCAAAAGGAAAAGCTTTTAAGGGAATTTTTCCAAGAAATTGAAGGATAATTTCAAATTGTCTCGATGGCAAAATGTCGTTCAGGTTGCTTGAAAAGTTACACTTCGCGATGCATAAAATCAAGTAGTTTTCAAATTGTTTTCAAAATATTATAGAGAGGATTTACGACTAAAACAGACTCCAAAACACACACACAGATGTCTCAGCAATAAGCCCATATCAAGCCAATTTACTGTAAATAGATACGGTCAGTGACATATCTTACAGAGCGTTTTGAGCACCTTGTTTACTCGCTTTAATCTTTAAAACGCTCCATGGTGTTTTATTGTTCGTAGCAAATTCGTTTGGTTTCAGTATTTTGCTATCAATTGAGTGGAAACAAAACATTTACCTCACTTCGCTTTTCAGAATCATCGACCCGTAACTGACCTACACAATCAAAATATCGCCAATATGACAGTCGACAACGTGAAAAAAAATCCGAGTCAAAATATGGGAAAACTTGTCGGTAGAAAGGTGTAATTTTACCCGAAAAAATATAGATATGAAAAAGGAAATTGGGTGTCCAATGCTGCATTCTGAGAGATGTGGTTCAAATTGTTCCAAAACCATTTTGATGGCTTCTGCAATCTGCCCTAAAGTATCAAAAAGAGCAATTAGTACTCGCAGGAATCAATAAACTAGTATTTGGCTAACGGCAGAAAATTATTCTTATCAAGAGAGATTTTTGGTTTTAATTGTCTTCTTTTTATCAAGGCGTTTTTTGTCATTGTGGTCGTTGTTGCAACAGTCGTTTATCTTGGCACTGTGAGGGATTTCTTCCGAATGGAACAGTACACAGCAGTAACTCCTAAAGAAGACATACAGATACAGGGTAAGTCAGATAAAGAAGAGGAGAAAGAACATTAGCGCAACGCTCATGAGTTTAAGCCTCTGTATGAAGCATTTCCTCGGTCAAAGGTGTTGGTTGGCTGAAATTTAAAAAATTACTTTTGCTAACTGTGGGAAAGCCTCGATACTTCGCTCTCAACACTATAAGTGCTTTTGTACAAAAAGTGTTCAATTTAAGAACAAAATATAAAGGAAATTTCGAGCTCATTTCGTCAAAAAAATCAACACCAAAACTTTGCAATGATGGCATAAAAGCAAAGTAAAAAATAAAACAGGAACAGAAATAACAACTCGAAGTATTTTGAAATAATGCGTCAGCTATTCTAGGTGTAAAATCTAGATCGTTTACATCCAATTGTGCACTGTACAAAGCTGCCCCCAATTTAAAGGAAGCGACAAAATATTAGCTTTAAACAAATGTAGCAAGATATTTCATCTCTGATCTTCCAGGGAGACTGACATAACTCTGAGGGAGGGGAGGGGGGTGTTGCGCTCCTCACAGTCTCTTGATGCTATGCAAACCTGGATAAGATCCGGCAAGGGGGGGGGCCTCCTGGCTCGTGTGCTGATTTTACTGTCACATTCAATTCCCAGTATTTGTATTTACAGGGGAAAATCTCTTTTTGGATCGCATTATGAGCCAGCGGCGTGAAGACGAGACCTTTTTCGGGGATGTAACAACCAGACGAAATTCGATAGCTGGCATTTCTGATGTACTGCACATCGAAACACCAGGAGAAGAAGTATTTCATGCCATGAAAACGGGCAAAAGTAGAATGCCTCAGGGAAGGAGAAACAAAAATATCACGCTATTACCAAGTGATGATGATGATGATGATGATGATGATGAAGGTGGCGACAGCAATGCTAATGATGACGAAGATGATAATGACCATGTTAACAAACTGGATCACAGTGAGGAGACCCATGATGACAATGATGATGATGATGATGATGATGATGATGAACATCACAGTGATGATGACCATAATCAGAAGGATCGTAATCGAAAGGAAGGTGACGACGGTGACGACAATGATATGGACCATGACGACAAACTGGATCACTCTGAGAACATCGATGAACACAATGATGATGATGATGATGATGATGATGAACGTCATAGTGATGATATCCATAAAAATAAGGATCGCAATGGAAAGGAAGGTGACGACGATGACGACAATGATAGTGGCCATGACAACAAACTAAATAATTATCAGAAGACTGATGATCACAATGATGATGATGATGATGAGCGTCATAGTGATGATGACCATAATAAGGAGGATGGCAAAGATAAGGAAGGTGACACTTGGAATGATTTGTCCATCAGTAGCCGCTATAAAGGATCATTTCCATTATCAAAAGAGAGAATGACGGATACCCCAGGTAATTCTAAGCACGACTTGGTCAATTCTATACAGCCCACATCACAAAAAAAGAAGAATGCAAGATTTTCTCCTTCGACAATTGCAATTTTAAAGGGTTTGTCATCGAAAGTTATCCTTAAAGAGAATCAGCAACCTTTAATCCCAAAAGAGCTGAACAGTGTTGTCAGTGAGAAAAACTTACTTTTTCAAAAATCAAAAAAGATATTAAATCTAAGTGATTCTGATAATTTCAGTCAACCGCCAGTTAATCTGCTGGTATCTCAAGGCTTCAGGAATAACGGAAACCGGAGATCCTCTACATTTCATTTAAACAAACCAATTCCACCACCTATTGGATTTTCACCGGCTCCCAGCCTTTCGATAACAAAATCACCATCGCTATTTTTTAATGACAAATCGGTTACACCTAAACATTACAATAGAACATCAGTTTGTCCACTCCTGCAAGTACGAAAACTTAGAATGTTGCCTGAGAATGTCCACTGTGTTCCACGAAACCGTTCCTTTCGGAGTTGTTTGAAGGCATTTCAAGACTATGATCTTGGAGGCAAACCTCTAACCTGCGGAAACAGTCCACCAGAGGAGCCGATGTGTTTGATCAATATTATCAGGCAATTTCCTAACTTAAGGATACCAGTTGTTGCGTGTAATACATCATTGTGCGGAACAAATCCTGTGTACGTCCTAGAGTACAGTCCTATTTATGGAATCCTCGAGGAACGCCATCTGTGGAAACGCTTTTTCACTTCACGGGGGCTTGAAAAGTACCTCGAGAGATACATAAACACAAATTACACCCTCAACTTTAATTTTTGCCTTCTCCTTTGTGTTCGCAAAGGTAGGACAGGTTTCATCGAACAGTTGATGACATTTCCCATAGCGCAAAAAACTACTAGTAGTAGAGTAAGCGATGAGGCGAAGTTCAACCTTAACATTTTGGTGCTTGATTCTGTGTCACGACCGCATTTCTACCGAACACTTCCAAAAACGGTCACGTCCCTGAGAGAAATAGATCATTTAGAATCGTACAACGCTACTGTAATGGATTTTGAGTTACTACATAGCTTAGCTTCATATACTTTCCCCAATATCAGGGCTTTAATGTCTGGTAGGATAGACTTGAGTGCTTTTGGAAGGCATGAAAATGAGACTTATGGTATAGAGGTTCTATTTGGAAAATTCAAACAGCTTGGTTATTACACATTGCTTCAAGAAGACAGCTGTTGGTATGATTCGTGGGGTTCGCTGTTTACAGACAATGTATATCAGGGTAAAATGCCACGATACAAACACGAGTTTGCCAACCGTTGGAAAAGGTTTCTTGAAAAGGTCAAGAATTACAATATAGACGATTTTGGTTTATCGCATGCTTCCTGTGAAATTTTCAAGCGCCATAAAACAACCAATCAATTTAACCATCCGAAGAAAGTGTGCTTCGATGGAAAACCTTTCGCGGAATACTTTCTTGATTATAACGAGAAGATTTACAACAATGTGCTAAAGATAGGGAAAAAAACCAGACTTCTATCATACACACATCTTAACACGGGACACGAAATAACTGGATCTCGCATACGACAAATCGACAAAAGACTTTCACAATACATTAAAAACATGGCTAAAATGGAAGACACGTTGACTATTGTGCTTTCAGATCACGGTCCAAAAACAACTAAATATTCATTTCACACAAGGGAAGGAAGAACCGAAAAATACGATCCATTATTTTTTATTGTAATTCCAGACAAAGTGGCAGCAATCCTAGGTCGACGAACACTCCACGCCCTAGAGCAGAATCAAAACCGTATCATCAATACTCTGGATATTCACAATGGTCTTATGTCTTTAGGGAAAGCAACAAACTCGTCTAGTATAAAAGACAAAGGCATATTTGATTTAATTCCTGCCAATCGCACGTGCGCAGATTTACCGAGGAAACCTCTGGCGGTTTGCAAGTGCCAAGGCTGGGAAACAAATTTTCCAGATAACGATAAACGATTTACCTGGCTAGCAGAATTTGCCCTTGGAACTATAAACAACCAAATTCAAGAGCAGTTTCTGAGGGGCGACAAGCAGGCTGGAGGTTATGGAAATTGCCAACGCTTGGTTGGAGAGAGCTTTACCAAGATTCGGCGTCGCTCCCAGGGAAAACATTACGTCACAACCATGGATATTATCGTAACACCGGGACAGGAGATTTTCGAGGTGCAAATCAAATATCCTCGGGTGTTAAAGAACCAAAACTCCTTTGCAAAACTTATAGTTCACGAGCGTGTCACTATTTACAGACATTTTCGAAAATGCGTGGACACCACAGTTAGTTTAGGATTGTGTGTTTGTGATAGTAAAAAACATCCTAAGCAAAAAACAAAGCAAAGATGGATAAAGATTAAAAACAGAGAGGATGTCTTGAACATCATTTCACGATCCAACAGCTTTGGATCACAAACTAGGATAAAAGATATCCATCAAAGCTGTCTTCTTCTTTTTTATAGGAACCGTAGGAGAAGGAGCACTAGTTTTGAAATTTCAAATACTTGCAACGACAGAACGTATAAAGTCACTATTTCTTTAATAGAAGTTGATACCAATAGAGTTTTCGTTTCGCGAAAAGTACCATTTTCCATTTTTTTGCCTCGAAGGACAATTCACTTTCTTTTAGCAATTAGACGTTTAGGGAATACATCCCATAATTTTAGGCTGAGAGTAAAGCATGCAGTGCAATTTTCCAGGAATAGATAGGGTGTGTACTTTTTTGAATTCGCGTCTTTGCGTGCCAGATCATACACGTGACTGTGTGTTTTTGTTTTGTTTCATCTCTCATTTGCTGTTCCTGATGGATGCTTTTTTAACAAGGGATATGAATGATATTGATTTATTTGACCTGTGCTAGATAGTGGATTACAAAAAATGATAGTCTAGTATGAGAGGATGTGTTTCTGGATTGGTTGATTAGCGTAACAGATATTTTTTATATCTCCAATCTTCAAAGAAACTGAAAAATTTTTGAGGTAAAAAATTTGTTGCAACTGACGTTTTGAGAAAAGATTCCTTTTTTTGCAATGGCAAAGCATTTGCTAACTGTTGGGTCAATAAATACAAATTTATTAATATCTAGTTTGGTATATTGACTATCAAAGTAAGGAGGGGAGTTTTCTATCTGTACTATCCAACGAGCGTAGTGAAGGTGTCTAGTTTGGTACATTGACTATCAAAGTAAGGTGAGGAGTTTGCTATCTGTATTGTTCAACGAACGTAGTGAAGGTGTCTAACGTGACATAGGCCTGTGGCGTTTGAGTGCTGAAAAGACTAAGCGACAAAATGGCCTTTAAAAAAGGAAGCGGGATGCATTACATACTGGTCACGATCAATTTTTCTCCTATTTGCTCAGTCTAAGTGTGGTTGGTTCTTTTAAGAATACAAGGAAACTATGTGTATGTGTTTATCAGCCCAGGCTTGAAGGACGGCTACGTTATCGATTAAACCCACGTTACATGCCTCAGACATCGCTTATCATTAGGGAGTTTGTGATGTCACTACGGCGACGTCTGGTAAAACGTTGCTGAAAAAACGTAATATACTTTCCCCTAAGATTTTCACCGGTTAACGTTCCTGAAAAAACGTAATTTGCTTTCCTCTAAGACTTACGCCAATAGCTCGTGACGCTGACGGCACGACATCTTCACTTCGGTATAACATATAAATGCAGTGTTGAGCTTTAAAAAGCACGTGTTTCTCTATTGTTCTGCTAAATAGATCTTTTGTTTTGCGACGTTCTCGTTGCTGTCGCCCACGTGGTTTCCTCGTGGCGAGCAACCACCAAAAGCATGAAAGAGTTCCTTTGCTTCTAATATGTTTTCTGTTCGTCTCTGAAGTGTCTTATTGCATAACTTGACATGTATCATATCGATAAGAAAGTACACTTCCTTGGAATGTCACCTTTAAGGGAGATCTTCTCTATTTTGACCCTTTAAGTGACTTTTTTTGTGCGTGCGGTCTAAAACCAATAATAGCTGATTCGGAGCCTCCAAATTAAATACGAGAGCAACTCTGCCACTTGCTTTGCATCACAGGTGAGGTGTCAGTCAACTTGTTTGTCTGAGGAGGATTTCTCACAAGATTTTTGCGCGTCTCTAAGGGGAAAAGGGAATTAGATCGAAAGATAGAAATTCCAAACTTTATTAGAATTCCTCGATATAAAAGTAATCAGATCTTAAGGCGAACCAAGGTTACTGTAGGTCATTCAATATAGCAGCTTAAGTGGACTCTAACCTAGCACTTGGAAGGCAGTTGTGATATCCTATCCAATGCGCTAGATTAAAAGGCGTGAGTCAGGAATCACGGCCGGTATGTCACGCTATAACACATGCCGTTGAATCTTTGTAATTATAAATAACTCTCCGCGTGATTCCGTGAGGCAAAAGAAAATTTGAATTTCAGAATTCATTAAGCTGATTAGATTTGCCAATCACCTGCTTTTTTTTTTGACGGTAACGAAATAATTTCGGCTATGCTGCTGTGCATGCGCACGCTCAGAAGGACCTCAAGTTCCACTCCTCTCTTTTCGTTCTACTTTCCGCATCGCCTCGCAGCAGACCGTTGATCGTTATCGCGGTTTCACCACGGTGTATTTCACTCGTGAAAGTGGAAATTTCGTTCTCTTTTGGTACGCAACCATGAAAGCGTTTGTTTACTTCGCGATCTGCTGCCTCTCGATAAATGCAGTTGGTAAGTACTAAATTGCATTGAACAATATAGCACTGCTCGGTTAAACGCCTTAAGCTCGTTGAGAGCCGAGGAGTAATTTGTTATTCTTTGAGAAACTCAACCGCCCGTAAAAAAATATTCAAGTCACTTAGTACTTGTCTTGACTTTGTCAGACTAAACAGCAACCGGCTAATTTTATACATGATAGTGAATTCATGAATCTAAATTAAGTTCCACAGTTTTCCTTATTTATGAAAATAGGGACTTGTTTTATAAGCCTCATTCAGATTATTGTGAAATGCTTCGAGGTATGTCTTTTTAACATACATCAAGTTGTTCAATCGTTCTCAATTTCGTGTTGTTTCAACATTTTAGAAGATATTTAAGGCAAAGTAAACTCCGTTAAGAGCCTGAATTGTTGATTGATACTGTTTCACAGCCTTGCAATTATGTGTTGTGGAAGATTAAAGTATTCGCAGCCTTATGAGCAGGTCTGGAAATAGTGACCCTTGCTTAAGATGTCTCCTGTGTATCATGTCCCACCTATCCTGTTACCTGCGTGATGAAATTATTTGACTAAAAGCAACTGCGAACGGTAAACTATCTCAAATGCCTAAAAAAAAAAGGAACAAAAAGATTTCTACGAGTGGAACTGAAAATTTTGGCACGATATTTTGATCGTAGCCTTAGACGAACGTTACTTCAGATTTTGCCTCGATTAACTTGAAATGGCGAAGTTTAAATAAAGGCTCCATTTACCGTTCGATTTATTTGTTTTGCCAGTTCGGAAAAAATGAACTTAAAAAAGAGTTTTATTTAAATTTGAGAATGTTTTTTTTTGTGAAGCCAAGTTGGTGTGAGAAGCATGGGAAGGTCTGGTGTAAATACGACAACCACACCAAAGTTTCCTACTTTCCTTTTTCCTTTGCTGCACGAATGCCCGTGCGTGACAGGTCATGACTTGTCAAAAGGAAATTCATTTAATTCATTTGTTGTTAGGCACCTTTCTTTGCTTGTTTTTGCCTTTTGATTGTTTTTCTTTTTGACTTTTTTTTCCCTTTTCTTTACTGGTTTAACTGCGAATAAGCCACGGCCGGAGAAAGTCATTTGCGTCCCATTGGCAGAGCTCAGCAGTAACCGCTCGTAACGAAGATTAAAACGAACAGAGTTGTCATATTCATCCCAGCAAGTGGGGGAATAACATAGAGTCGTGTGCAGAGAAAGGCGCCGTCAATAGCGTCCCTCTCTTTTGTTTGCTTGAGTTTTGCGTTTGTTCATTTGCAGTTGCTTATTTACGAATGTTGTTTCCTTGGTGTCTGTTTTTCCTTCGACAGACGCCGGTCCCTCACAGTGTCACTCATGCATTGAAGCTGACGACGCCTCTTGCTCTGCAAACCAGAAAAACCAAACCTGTGCCTCAGATCCACTCTCTCTGGGAACCACTCACTGTGCTTCCGTAGCAATCTCTTATTATGGGAACGAGACTGACATCCTAAATGATAAACTACATGACGGCTTCATACGAGGATGCATTGATTGCGGAGGTAAATTGATCTCAACTTAATCTCCTCTGACAGGCACTTTTAAATCACTAGAAACTCATTTTTTTCGTTTTTCTTTCATTACGAGAACCCACTTCTCCTTAGCGTCCTGTGCCACGAACAGATCAAACATAAGAAATTTTGGGATAATGCTTTAGCTCTCGTTAATTCAGAGGCTGGGGTTAATTGTAAATATAAAGTTAACATTTGAACAGTGTTAGCTTTTGCCAAATGGTTTCTAAGTGATTCGTTGGCCAATCCCGCTAAAGAAGATAGTAGTAATGAATGTTTCTTTCTATTTTTTTTTTGTTTGTTTGAAGTGCTAAAGCAGTCTTTATTTCTTCACAATATAAAAATTACATGTCTGATGTTATTAAGTGAAAAGTTAAAAAAGTAATAAAAACGTAGACGATAGTAAAAGAAAGAGTAAAAACCAAAAAACCTTACCTTGTAATTGAAAATGAGACGATTTACATAATAATCTTTAACTCTGGGGCAACGTAAGACATGTTTTGAAAGTTATATTTCGTTTCTTATTTCTTGGGGATTAAATTTCAAAGAGGATGGAAATCTAACTTTGCGCATTTATTTGTCCTGCTTTTCTTGAAGATAAAACAGCAGCCTGTTTTGCTCTTATGGGTGCCCTAAAGGCTCAGAAGACATGGAGCGTGCGGGAATGTTCAATCGAGTGTTGTACTGGTAACAACTGTAACAAGCAGACTCCAAACCTTGATACTGGCGACAGAAAAAGAGTTTTTACACCAGAAGGTAATCTGATGGAAACAAAACTTTGATAACTTTTTGCTGACCTTTTGTAAGGGCTAGTTACATGTATTTCATGTAAGCCTCTTGAAATGTTTAATTTTCCGATCTACCAAAGGCTCCTTTATTTTCCCTGCATATTGTCAAACTCCCAGTCTTATTGGCTAGCGTTGTTGACGACTTTGGAGATTCAAGCACATCTGTCTCTAATCTTGAAAAGGAAAGACGACTTGATGTAATAACTTCTCTAGAAAACAAACTTGCGATCAATTTAACCGAAGGACCTGTTTAAACAGGACCTCACGGAGCTGTTTTGCGACATGCGTGATTTTGTCTTGTTTGTAACCGCCTGTGTGTACCTTCGAATTCTATTGAGGTTGATACAGTACACGTCTTATTTTTTTTCTCGTACCGTCCTACAAGTGTGGAAGTAGACCACTGCCTCGTCGACCTGGATCATCCCAAACGTTTATGGTCTTAACCCTTTAACTCCCATGAGTGACCGTGACAAAATTTCTCCTTACAATAAAAATACAATATCAAGCAGACAGATGATGAGAATAAAGAAAAATATCAATCAAAGGATTGTTAGCTGATCCAATACCAAATTCTCCATACTGACAACATGAGAACTGTATTGCAGGCAGTAAGGAGAATTGCTAATGAGATCTTGGGAGTAAAAGGGTTAATCCCTTGTCACTCAAGGTTCCTGCTCCATACCGCAAGACTGCTGACAGTCTGTTGCTGTCACGATAAGAAGAAAATATTAATCCCTTAGTATAGCATATGCCACACTCATTCTCAGACGTTAAATTCTATATTGTCCGGGAAAGCAGCTAAAGATGAACCTCTTTTTAAAATTACGGTTTACTAATTGTATTTACGAATATTTCTCATGAACGACAAAGTGCGTTAATACGTGTCCGTTTTCTTTTCTTATCAGCTGACTGGCCCAAAAAATGTAACTCTTGCAGTGAAAAAGACGCAGGTACTTGCGCAGCAAACGAACAGAGTCAAACCTGTGTGACAGATCCTAAGTCACTGGGCACAGGCCAATGTGCGTCTGTATTGGGACAATACCGCGACAAGGATGGCAAAATCCATGAATCTTTCTTTCGAGGATGCCTTCAATGCACACGTAAGTCCACAGACTTAAGAAAATTTAGCAATTTTTAAGGGAGCAGGCTAAAAAATAAAGGAGCTCCACGCAATGGAGGGTATAGGGGCATGTTTTCCGGTCATATTTTGAAATCTCTAGGATTAGAAACTTTGCTTATTTTAACTGCCCTGATATACCATTCCCTCCAAAGTCACGTGGAATAATTACTAGCGAAGGCAGTTTCCCCAGGAAAGATTATGTTACTAATTTTTTTATAAATTGTCAGAGGCAAATCATATTATTTTCAAGATGTCTTGACTGCTAGTCATAGCCTAGAGTACTATATAAGTGATCTTCCCAACGTGGGACGTGAAGGGCACAAAGCTTACATGGATATTTCTTGTCTCGAATCGGGGAAAAATACATTCTAGCGTATGCATTAACGCCGCTTTTGTTCAAAGGTTGTTCTCCTAGATCTCTCTCACCTGGTTTACGTCTCAGCGAGTAAAAAGAGATTTATTGTTACAGTGAGCCACCCGTCTTACGATTTCTTTTTGTTTGTGTTTTTTATTTCCTGCATTTCAGACGCAAAACGAGCATGTTTCAGTTTAGGTGGTTTCTTCAAGAGGAATGGAGGATGGACGATGCAACAATGTGCAATCGATTGCTGCCAGACGCGAAACTGTAACACTGGGGTCCCAACAATGACCCCAGCTGCCATACCTGTGTTTCCAGAGACAGGTGATGTGATTTTTCACACTGCTTTTATATTTTTTCAGTCTAACCAAGTAGGTACCGTATTAAGGGAAATTCTGCTAAGCCTTAAGCAGCTTCACAGGGAGCCCATCTGAGAGAAAATATAAATGAAATTCTGGCATGTTTACAGGCACTGGCGAGTTTACTAGCTTGTACTCGCATCTTTCTCTATTTCTTTACCGAGCTCAAAACTTACCATCTCTCTTATTTCTATCTACAAACATTACGCTTTCGACATTGCTGATCCTGGCAGTATGCAGGACATGTGTCATATGAACTTCGTTATAGACCTCGCTCACCGTGGAGTCTCTGTGGCTCAGTGGTAGAGCATCGGAGCACGAAATCCGAAGGTCTGAGATTCGATTCCTCATGGGTACTCAGAATGTTTTCTTTGTCCTACGCTCGTGACAAGACGAAAAAAACATCTTTCTCTTGTTCTTGCATGTTTACAGGTAATTACAATAACTCAAAGCTTGTGATGGTTAATGCTCCACAGAATCCTTTGCGATTTTGGATTCTGCCGCCCCATGTATGTTCACGACTTAAAAAACATAGAGGAGTTGACGATGATTTCTTTTAAAGAGAAAGATTTAAAAAATTATCTTCAACTTAAGTAGCTAAAATTTTAAGGAGTACGAATAGACCCTCTGTAACAAGTAGAAAGAAAAGCCTGTGGGAAAATGGCTGGAAGAAACTTATTCCTTTAAAATAAATGCAGGCATCAAGAAGGACCAGGCCAACTATCAAGTGAAGTAAATGTTGTGATGATTTTAGGAAATACCATCTTGTTAAAAGCAACAGCTTTAACATCGCATTCAAACATTCGTAACCTCTCTTGTTGCCCAGTGGAGCGGGCCGGCAATAAAGATATAGGTAGCCATTGTCCCGATTTAAACCTCAATGTTAATGAACCCAATAATCAAAATAAAATCAACTTTCTAACATGTTCAGAGATCAGGAGGGGGTTGAATAAAGTAATTCAATTATGTGTGTACATCAACAAAGAATTTGTTTTTTGATCCAACAGCTGAGTGTAATAGCTGCTTCGAGACTGATTCAGCTTCATGTAAGACAAATCAGAAGCCTCAGTTTTGCGCTACAAGTGAAGATTCACTGGGCACGAGTCACTGCGCCTCGATGGTTGGATCATTTCGAGACCAAAATGGAAACAAAGTGAATGGTTTTTATCGAGGATGTGTGGATTGTTCAGGTGACTTAATGAGTAGAAGCCTGTAATATATTAAAACACGCGAGGTAACAATAGATCTGCTGCATACTCAAATGGTTTAAATGCCCTCTGTAACGATATTTCGTGTTAGCTAAGTGAATTATAGGGATATTTCGTGTGTATATAAATAATGTATTTTGTTTGTTCGAATCATCTTTGTTTAAAATCAGTTTAAGTCGTTACTTTATCGAACAACAGCCTTACAAAGACGCGATCATCAGTGTTACAATTTTAGGTTAAGTGATCATGTATTGACTGAATTATGCGAATCGAAAAGCGGGAAACATAAACAAAGCCCCTAATTGAAGCACCCAATGCGGTAGATGTTGAGCCCGAAGTTTTATTGCGAGATAGTTGATAAGGGCAAAACCCGAATCGTCTATGAAGCTGGCATAACAAACGAGAATAAACGATTTGATGATTTTAGTCCAAATCTAAAGGCTGTTCAAAACTTTAACTTTTTTTATTGATCGACACATTGGGTTCTATTACGATTAAGTATCTAAATCCAATGTTGCGTTTTTACAAATGCGGCAATCTCATTGGCTTCGCTAATCGCTATATATTTCGTGATAGATAGTCGATATGGGAGAGGTATATCGTTGACCTATTGGTAACATCATTCAATAATGTAAAGCGAAACGTACTTACGTTGCCGCCAAACACTTTTCAAATCAAATTTTATTTTTAGCAGTTCACCCTAAGAGAGCTTCATAAGAAGAAAGGGGTTCAAAACAGTAGGCTCAGTAAAGTAGTTTACGAAATATATGATAAACCTTGGAACCGATAGAAAACGTCAGCTTTTTGTCCTTGCGCAATTTTCAAAGACCAGCATTGAATGGTCTCCGCTTAACCCTTTAAAATTCTCCTAGGAGACAAAGACATAATTTCTCCTTACAATATCAATGCAAGATCGTTATGACGCAAAAAAGTGATGAGGAAAAGGAAAAATATCATTCAGGGGATAATAAGTTAATTTAATACCAAATTCTCTAAACTAACCTCATGATAGGTTAGTTTATCACCGTGTATCACTAATAAGATCTTAGGAGTAAGAGTTTTAGGTTGTATTTATTATTTCAGAAAAGAAGATAGCCTGTTCAACTATTGGTGGCTTTATCAAAGCAAATAGACAATGGTGGTTGGGTCAGTGCGAAATCACGTGCTGCACTGGTAGCAACTGTAACACTCATATCCCAACGTTGTCGGACGCTACATCAATTCAAGTTTTTCAGCCCCCAGGTGAGAGATTGCCGCAGCTTACCTCCTCTCCCCCTCATCAATTTTCTTGTTTAAAACCACGGAATCGTGGATTGAGATATTGTTAAAAAAGCGAATCACACATATCGAAAAAGGAATTATGAAATGAATCATGAATCATCGGGGTAAAATGAAAATAAAAATAAATAAAACGTCAAATTTTTGTCCCAGGGAGGCACCAAAAGTTTTGACATTTTGCTAGGATTTTGTACCGCAAGACATTTCAATCATGTTTTAATCTGAATAAACTGGTTATCACTCTTCCTTACAGCATCGGGACAAAGTCTGCAATGTCTGTATTGCCTCAAAGTTAACAGCGGAAGGTGTTACGACGGCAAAGTTCAAGTTTGTGCCAGAGATCGAGAATCACTGGGTACCAGGCAATGTTATTCCGCAGCGATCAGATATTGGGACGAATCGAGATTTCAATCTCCCTCAATCTATGGTGGTTACGTCCAGGGATGTATTGATTCATGCGAAGGTAAACACCTGCAAAATTAAACCAATCATACTTAATATGATTAGCTGGTAATTTATTAAAACATCAATACTTCCTTTTATCTAAAAAAGAAAGAAACTAATTTTTTAGGTATAATGACGCAAACGAGAGGAATTTAACAAGGGACATATTTCAGTTTTGACCCATAACCTGAAATGAGCGGTTAAAAATTGCCAATATCATGGCCGACGACATAGCTGACACGTTGGATGGATCATTTATTTTGTTTTTCATGCAAATAGTTCCTGATGAATGTGTTATCCTTCTATTTTTGCCCACACCTTTTCCTCTTGATTCAGTTTTTCAGTAGCAATGATGAGCCAACTCTTAGTACACACCGATTCCTTTTATATTAATTGAAGAAAAAAAAATCACTTGATAAAAACTATTTCACCGACCTTATCACCTTTGTCTTCTTTTCATAGACGAAAAAGCAGCTTGTGCCTCTATCGCTGGCTTGGTGAAAGACCGTAAACTTTGGAAGTTAACAGAATGTAAAATTCACTGCTGTACGGGCGACAAGTGTAACACTAAAGAAGTATTCCTACCATACGGTGTGTATTATTTTAATGGGAGCAAATTACAAAATAATTTTTCTTGCATTCTAGTTTATTTTATTTCAATTCTTATACGCGCAAACCTATAATCGCCAACATTTTCGAGACCGTGCAAATATTTTCATTTTTCGTTGGAGCTCTGTCTATCTTCTGCTTTGCTCTTCCCTCAGCTCTGACTCTAAATCGTGCCTTTCACCTCATTTCCTCTCTTTTATTTGCCTCTTTTTGGTTCAAAGACTTTCTAATTGTAAATGTACGCTCTTTCTTCGGTCTTTCTCCTCTTCTTTCCTTAAGTCAACTGGCTAGCGTGTTTTCCGCAATTTCCTTTCAAAAGGTGGGTTCAATTTGGCATATATAGCGTTGACCCAAATCCGGCTTTATTGGAAAAAAGCAGATCAATCCTTGCGAGTGTCGAATATATCGTTGTTTTACTCCCTCCTGACCCTTCTGCCGTTCCCCTCCACATGAGCTAACATTAGAATCGATTTCCCTCCCTTGCAAGTGTAGTTGAACTGACGGGGACACTATGTGCTGCGTTAGGTTCCTCATCTTACGATGTGTCGAAAGGCTGAGGAAGCCCTGCCCCAGGTCGCCTTGGATATTGGCGACCTAAAATGGTCCCAGCATGGACCAATATGATTGCATTTTCGAAGAACTGAATACAGAACAACAAATTATGTTTTAAGATGCAACCCAGGATGAACAAATTTGACAGTTGTCCACGTTTTGGAGCGTTATTTCTGAGCTATTTATGACGGCAAAAGCTAACGTAAAGTCATTCTGAAGATATACCCATTGCCACATGATCGCCATTCGTTACACCTTTTACATAATTTTACATTGCATACCACTCTGCCTGTACCCTACCTAAACTCTAATGCGGCACTAAGAACATAATATAGTGAAAGGTGTATGCCAAGATTTGTCTTCAAATCGCAATAGCAAAAAGGAATATAAAAGTAAACATACAGGGAAAACAAAATATCGAATTGCAGCTTCTTTAAAGGTCAATGTTCACATCCTCCATTAATTGCTTTTTCTGCACAGGCTTCAGCACCAAGCGACCAACTGATTACTCTTCGTTGTCAACTGAGTCAACTAAAACAACTGAAGGAAGTCGCGGCAGTAGGCTCGCGTCGTTCTACGCGTCCACACTCGCGTCGTTCTACACGTTGGCAGTCGCGTTTGGTCATATTTTTCACCACTTATAAAAGCAGAAGATGAGAAAACGAAGAAAGACTGAAAGAAAAATAGGAAATATAGTGATCTATTACTGGCTTCTTCTATTAATTTGGTTGTAACAAGAAAACATCAAGCTGTTGATCCTTTTGTTGGAATTATCTTCATAAAGAATAAACAGAGTAAACTTTAATCAAATTTTTGTTCTTCTTTGTATTCTGAAGCTCTTTCAATAAGAGGTTTGGTCCGTTTCTCAACAACCCAATCGAATTTCCTTTCCATCCTACTTGTGATAGTTCTGTCCAAGTTATTACAGTCAGGTCTGATTTTATCTCAAATCCGTTGTGTACACGAAAATCGCCATCTTAGAAAACGTCACGAACCCCAGGTAGGATAAGAAACGTAACTAACCCATATTTTTATTTATGTCAGATGTTTTATTTCTTGAGAGGCTCACAGTGAATGGTGAATTAAATGCAAATATTGAAACAAGACGGAAATCGTACAGAAAGGGGGAAATTAACTCCTCTCGGGGGGCAAAGACGTTGAGAAAAAGGTTGTAAATAAAATGTGGCCGTCAGAGGGACGATAAATCAATGCGTTACGAGTCTGCTAGAAAAAGCTAAAATCTCCGAGTTTAAGAAGTTTTCGCATGGCGAACTTGATCGGCAAACACTTGGCCTGGAAGATTCTCCCAAATCGTCCTCAGGAAACGAGGAAGAAATTAGCTTGAATGATTCAGGGTGGGTCGTAGTTGATCGAAAAACGTTCAAAATTTAACTTGACAGAAAAAGAAAAAAAAAACAGCTCTGTGGAGGTGAGAGTGAAAGTTGTCTCCTGTTGAGCAGAGGATGCTTAACCCTTGGACCCACACGCCCTCTTATTATACCTCTGTTGTGTACGAATGAAGTGGATAGAGAAGAAAGAGAAACAAAATCTCTTCCAATTTAATTACTTAGGAAAGAAGATCTCGTCTAGATTAGGAATGTTGCGTAGGGCACGAAAGATCTTGCCTCAGTCATCCTGTATCATTTTGTACAACACAATGATACTCCCCCTTTTTGACTATTGCTCAGTTGTATGGGATAGTTGTGGGGCTATATCTAAAGGGTATCTTGATAAACTTAATGGGCGTGTGGCGAGTATTATCTTAAATAGGGCTGTGAGTGAAACAGATATTGTTCGTATTCTTGGTTGGCCTAGCCTTCAGTCTCGTAGAGACTATCTTAAATGCATGCTGGTTGTCAAATCGATGAACGGCTTAGCACCTTCCTACCTATTGAGTGATTTTACTCAAGCTAAGAAATATAATACCAGGCACAGGGATTTGATCCGTCTTCCTTTGGCCAAAAGCACTAAATATCAAGGCAGTTTTAGATATAATAATGGGTGCACTTTTAATAATCTGCCCAAAGCAATAAGATCGCTGGAAAGCCTCAAAACTTTTAAAACCGAGTGTAAGCGGTTTTTTAAACAGATTTAATTAGTTACGTAGACTTTGTATGTATTTTCTCTGATGAGTTTTACTTTTGTCTGTCAATTTTATGTGTAACTTTGTATTGTCAAATATGCGTGCGGTCTAAAACCAATAATAGCTGATTCGGAGCCTCCAAATTAAATATGAGGGCAACTCTGCCACTTGCTTTGCATCACAGGTGAGGTGTCAGTCAACTTGTTTGTCCGAGGAGGATTTCTCACATGATTTTTGCGCGTCCTCTAAGGGGAAAAGGGAATTAGATCGAAAGATAGAAATTCCAAACCTTATTAGAATTCCTCGATATAAAAGTAATGAGATCTTAAGGCGAACCGAGGTTACTGTAGGTCATTCAATATAGCAGCTTAAGTGGACTCTAACCTAGCACTTGGAAGGCAGTTGTGATATCCTATCCAATGCGCTAGATTAAAAGGCATGAGTCAGGAATCACGGCCGGTAAGTCACGCTATAACACATGCCGTTGAACCTTTGTAATTATAAATAACTCTCCGCGTGATTCCGTGAGGCAAAAGAAAATTTGAATTTCAGAATTCATTAAGCTGATTAGATTTGCCAATCACCTGCTTATTTTTTGACGTTAACGAAATAATTTCGGCTATGCTGCTGTGCATGCGCACGCTCAGAAGGACCTCAAGTTCCACTCCTCTCTTTTCGTTCATCTCATCGCCTCGCAGCAGACCGTTGATCGTTATCGCGGTTTCACCACGGTGTATTTCAGTCGCTGTAAAGTGATTATTCGTGAAAGTGGAAATTTCGTTCTCTTTTGGTACGCAACCATGAAAGCGTTTGTTTACTTCGCAATCTGCTGCCTCTCAATAAATGCAGTTGGTAAGTACTAAATTACATTGAACAATATAGTACTGCTCGGTTAAACGCCTTAAGCTCGTTGAGAGCCGAGGAGTAATTTGTTATTCTTTGAGAAACTCAACCGCCCGTAAAAAAATATTCAAGTCACCTAGTAATTGTGCTGACCTTGTCAGACTAAACAGCAACCGGCTAATTTTATACATGATAGTGAATTCATGAATCTAAATTAAGTTTCACAATTTTCCTTATTTATGAAAATAGGGACTTGTTTTATAAGCCTCATTCAGATTATTGTGAAATGCTTCGAGGTATGTCTTTCTTACATATATCAAGTTGTTCAATCGGTCTCAATTTCGTGTTGTTTCAACATTTTAGAAGATATTAAAGGCAAAGTAAACTCCGTTAAGAGCCTGAATTGTTGATTGATACTGTTTCACAGCCTTGCAATTATGTGTTGTGGAAGATTAAAGTATTCGCAGCCTTATGAGCAGGTCTGGAAATAGTGACCCTTGCTTAAGATGTCTCCTGCGTATCATGTCCCACCTATCCTGTTACCCGCGTGATGAAATTATTTGACTAAAAGCAACTGCGAACGGTAAACTATCTCAAATGTCTAAAAAAAGGGAAAAAAAAGATTTCTACGAGTGAAACTGAAAATTTTGGCACGATATTTTGATCGTAGCCTTAGACGACCGTTACTTCAGATTTTGCCTCGATTAACTTGGGATAGCGAAGTTTAAATAAAGGCTCCATTTACCGTTCGATTTATTTGTTTTTCCAGTTTGGACATGAAAATGAATGAAAAAGGATTTTAGTTAAATTTGAGAATGTTTTTTTTGTGAAGCCAAGTTGGTGTGAGAAGCATGGGAAGGTCTGGTGTAAATACGACAACCACACCAAAGTTTCCTACTTTCCTTTTTCCTTTGCTGCACAAATGCCCGTGCGTGACAGGTCATGACTTGTCAAAAGGACATTCATTTAATTCATTTGTTGTTAGGCACCTTTCTTTGCTTGCTTTTGCCTTTTGATTGTTTTTCTTTTGACTTTTTACTGGTTTAATTGCGAATAAGCCACGGCCGGAGAAAGTCATTTGCGCCCCATTGGCAGAGCTCAGCAGTAACCGCTTGTAAAGGAGATTAAAACGAACAGAGTGATTATATTCATCCAAGCAACTGGGGGAATAACATAGAGTCGTGTGCAGAGAAAGGCGCCGTCAATAACGTCCCTCTCTCTTTAGTTTGCTTTAGTTTTGCATTTGTTCATTTGCAGTCGCTTATTTACGAATGTTGTTTCCTTGGTGTCTGTTTTTCCTTCGACAGACGCCGGTCCCACACAGTGTCACTCATGCATTGAAGCTGACGACGCCTCTTGCTCTGCAAACCAGAAAAACCAAACCTGTGCCTCAGATCCACTCTCTCTGGGAACCACTCACTGTGCTTCCGTAGCAATCTCTTATTATGGGAACGAGACTGACATCCTAAATGATAAACTACATGACGGCTTCATAAGAGGATGCATTGATTGCGGAGGTAAATTGATCTCAGCTTAATCTCCTCTGACAGGCACTTTTAAATCACTAGAAACTCATTTTTTTCGTTTTTCTTTCATTACGAGAACCCACTGCTCCTTAGCGTCCTGTGCCACGAACAGATCAAACATAAGAAATTTTGGAATAATGCTCTAGTTCTCGTTAATTCAGAGACTGGGGTTAATTGCAAATATAAAATTAACATTTGAACAGTGTTAGCTTTTGCCAAATGGTTTCTAAGTGATTCTTTGGCCAATCCCGCTAAAGAGGATAGTAGTAATGAATGTTTCTTTCTTTCTTTTTTGTTTGTTTGAAGTGCTAAAGTAGTCTTTATTTCTTCACAATATAAAAATTACATGTCTGATGTTATAAAGTGAAATGTTAAAAAAGTAATAAAAACGTAGACGATAGTAAAAAAAAGAGTAAAAACCAAAAAACCTTACCTTGTAATTGAAAATGAGACGATTTACATAATAATCTTTAACTCTAGGGCAACGTCAAGAAATGTTTTGAAAGTTATATTTCGTTTCTTATTTCTTGGGGATTAAATTTCAAAGAGAATGGAAATCTAACTTTGCGCATTTATTTGTCCTGCTTTTCTCGAAGATAAAACTGCAGCCTGTTTTGCTCTTATGGGTGCCCTAAAGGCTCAGAAGACATGGAGCGTGCGGGAATGTTCAATCGAGTGTTGTACTGGTAACAACTGTAACAAGCAGACTCCAAACCTTCATACTGGCGACAGAAAAAGAGTTTTTACACCAGAAGGTAATCTGATAGAAACAAAACTTTGATAACTTTTTGCTGACCTTTTGTAAGGGCTAGTTACATGTATTTCACGTAAGCCTCTTGAAATGTTTAATTTTCCGATCTACCAAAGGCTCCTTTGTTTTCCCGGCATATTGTCAAACTCCTAGTCTTATTGGCTAGCCTTGTTGACGACTTTGGAGATTCAAGCACATCTGTCTCTAATCTTGAAAAGGAAAGACGACTTGATGCAAGAACTTCTCTAAAAAACAAACTTGCGATCAATTTAACCGAAGGACCTGTTTAAACAGGACCTCACGGAGCTGTTTTGCGACATGTGTGATTTCGTCTCGTTTGTAACCGCCTGTGTGTACCTTCGAATTCTATTGAGGTTGATACAGTACATGTCTTATTTTTTTTTTCTTGCACCGTCCTATAAGTGTGGAAGTAGACCACTGCCTCGTCGACCTGGATCATCCCAAACGTTTATGGTCTTAACCCTTTAACTCCCATGAGTGACCGTGACAAAATTTCTCCTTACAATAAAAATACAATATCAAGCAGACAGGTGATGAGAATAACGAAAAATATCAATCAAAGGATTGTTAGCTGATCCAATACCAAATTCTCCATACTGACAACATGAGAACTGTATTGCAGACAGTAAGGAGAATTGCTAATGAGATCTTGGGAGTAAAAGGGTTAATCCCTTGTCACTCAAGGTTCCTGCTCCATACCGCAAGACTGCTAACAGTCTGTTGCTGTCACAATAAGAAGAGAATATCTATCCCTCAGTATGGCGTATGCCACACTCATTCTCAGACGTTAAATTCTATATTGTCCGGGAAAGCAGCTAAAGATGAACCTCTTTTTAGAGTTACAGTTTACTACTTGTATTTACGAATATTTCTCATGAACGACAAAGTACGTTAATACGTGTCCGTTTTCTTTTCTTATCAGCTGACTGGCCCAAAAAATGTAACTCTTGCAGTGAAAAAGACGCAAGTACTTGCGCAGCAAACGAACAAAGTCAAACCTGTGTGACAGATCCTAAGTCACTGGGCACAGGCCAATGTGCGTCTGTACTGGGACAATACCGCGACAAGGATGGCAAAATCCATGAATCTTTCTTTCGAGGATGCCTTCAATGCACACGTAAGTCCACAGACTTAAGAAAATTTAGCAATTTTTAAGGGAGCAGGCTAAAAAAAAAGGAGCTCCACGCAATGGAGGGTATAGGGGCATGTTTTCCGGTCATATTTTGAAATCTCTAGGATTAGAAACTTTGCTTATTTTAACTGCCCTGATATACCATTCCCTCCAAAGTCACGTGGAATAATTACTAGCGAAGGCATTTTCCCCAGGAAAGATTATATTAGTAATTTTTTTTTATAAATTGTCAGAAGCAAATCATATTATTTTCAAGATGTCTTGACTGCTAGTCATGGCCTAGAGTACTGTATAAGTGATCTTCCTATTACTCTTTCTCACGGACGTGAAGGGCACAAAGCTCACATGGATATTTCTTGTCTCGAATCGGGGAAAAATACATTCTAGCGTATGCATTAACGCCGCTTTTGTTCAAAGGTTGTTCTCCTAGATCTCTCTCACCTGGTTTACGTCTCAGCGAGTAAAAAAAGATTTATTGTTACAGTGAGCCAACTGTCTTACGATTTCTTTTTGTTTGTGTTTTTTATTTCCTGCATTTCAGACGCAAAACGAGCATGTTTCAGTTTAGGTGGTTTCTTCAAGAGGAATGGAGAATGGACAATGCAACAATGTGCAATCGATTGCTGCCAGACGCGAAACTGTAACACTGGGGTCCCAACAATGACCCCAGCTGCCCTACCTGTGTTTCCAGAGACAGGTAATGTGATTTTTCACACTGCTTTTATATTTTTTCAGTCTAACCAAGTAGGTACCGTATTAAGGGAAATTCTGCTAAGCCTTAAGCAGCTTCACAGGGCGCCCATCAGAGAGAAAATATAAATGAAATTCTGGCATGTTTACAGGCACTGGCGAGTTTGCTAGCTTGTACTCGCATCTTTCTCTATTTCTTTACCGAGCTCAAAACTTACCATCTCTCTTATTTCTATCTACAAACATTACGCTTTCGACATTGCTGATCCTAGCAGTATGCAGGACATGTGTCATATGAACTTCGTTATAGACCTCGCTCACCGTGGAGTCTCTGTGGCTCAGTGGCAGAGCATCGGAGCACGAAATCCGAAGGTCTGAGATTCGATTCCTCATGGGTACTCAGAATTTTTTCTTTGTCCCACGCTCGTGACAAGACGAAAAAAACATCTTTCTCTTGTTCTTGCATGTTTACAGGTAATTACAATAACTCAAAGCTTGTGATGGTTAATGCTCCACAGAATCCTTTGCGATTTTGGATTCTGCCGCCCCATGTATGTTCACGACTTAAAAAACATAGAGGAGTTGACGATGATTTCTTTTAAAGAGAAAGATTTAAAAAATTATCTTCAACTTAAGTAGCTAAAATTTTAAGGAGTATAAATAGATCCTCTGTAACAAGTAGAAAGAAAAGCCTGCGGGAAAATGGCTGGAAGAAACTTATTCCGTAGCAATAAATGCAGGCATCATGAAGGACCAGGCCAACTATCAAGTGAAGTAAATGTTGTGATGATTTTAGGAAATACCATCTTGTTAAAAGCAACAGCTTTAACATCGGATTCAAACATTCGTAACCTCTCTTGTTGCCCAGTGGAGCGGGCCGGCAATAAAGATATAGGTAGCCATTGTTCCGATTTAAACCTCAATGTTAATGAACCCAATAATTAAAATAAAATCAACTTTCTAACATGTTCAGAGATCAGGAGGGGGTTAAATAAAGTAATTCAATTATGTGTGTACATCAATAAAGAATTTGTTTTGTGATCCAACAGCTGAGTGTAATAGCTGCTTTGAGACTGATTCAGGTTCATGTAAGACAAATCAAAAGCCTCAGTTTTGCGCTACAAGTGAAGATTCACTGGGCACGAGTCACTGCGCCTCGATGGCTGGATCATTTCGAGACCAAAATGGAAACAAAGTGAATGGTTTTTATCGAGGATGTGTGGATTGTTCAGGTGACTAAATGAGTAGAAGCCTGTAATATATTAAAACACGCGAGGTAACAATAGATCTGCTGCATACTCAAATGGTTTAAATGCCCTCTGTAACGATATTTCGTGTTAGCTAAGTGAATTATAGGGATATTTCGTGTGTATATAAATAATGTATTTTGTTTGTTCGAATCATCTTTGTTTAAAATCAGTTTAAGTGTGACTGTGCGATTATTTTCCGTAATTTCGTTTTGCCCTCTTGTGTTTCTCCGAGTTATCAAAGACGATACACCCTCGTTTCCTCTGTTCTGATTGGCCAGTGTCCTGATCGCCTACTCTAATCTGCCACATGCTGTCGTTACTTGATCGAACAACGGCCTTACAAAGAAGCGATCATCAGTTTTACAATTTTAGGTTCAAGTGATCGTGTAGGAGCACGAATTTGAATGGATTATGCGAAAATCGAAAAGGCGGGAAACAGAAACAAAGCCCCTAATTGAAGCACTCAATGCGGTAGATGTTGAGCCCGAAGTTTTATCGCGAGATAGTTGAGAAGGGCAAAACCCGAATCGTCTATGAAGCTGGCATAAAAAACGTGAACAAACGATTTGATGATTTTAGTCCAAATCTGGAGGCTGTTCAAAACTTTAACTTATTTTAATGATCGACACATCGGGTTCTATTACGATTAAGTATCTAAATCCAATGATGCGTTTTTACAAATGCGGCAATCTCATTGGCTTCGCTAATCGCTACATATTTTGTCATAGATAGTCGATATGGGAGAGGTATATCGTTGACCTATCGGTAACATCATTCAATAATGTAAAGCGAAACGTACATATGTTGTCTCCAAACACTTTTCAAACCGAATTTTTTTTTTTTTTTTTAGTTCACCCTAAGAGAGCTTCTTTAGAAGAAAAGGGTTAAAAACAGTTGGCTCAGTAAAGTAGTTTGCGTAATATATGATAAACTTCTTATCAGATAGAAAACGTCGGCTTTTTGTCCTTACGCAATTTTCGAAGACCAGTATTGAATGATCTCCGCTTGACCCTTTAAAATTCTCCTACGAGACAAAGACATAATTTCTCCTTACAATATCAATGCAAGATCGTTATGACGCAAAAAAGTGATAAAAAAGTGATGAGGTAAAGGAAAAATATCATTCAGAGGATAATAAGTTAATTTAATACCAAATTCTCTTCTAACCTTATGATAGGTTAGTTTATCACCATGTATCGCTAATAAGATCTTAGGAGTAAGAGTTTTAGGTTGTATTTATTATTTCAGAAAAGAAGATAGCCTGTTCAACTATTGGTGGCTTTATCAAAGCAAATAGACGATGGTCGTTGGGTCAGTGCGAAATCACGTGCTGCACTGGTAGCAACTGTAACACTCATATCCCAACGTTGTCGGACGCTACATCAATTCAAGTTTTTCAGCCCCCAGGTAAGAGATTGCCGCAACTTACCTCCTCCCCCCCCCCCCCCATCTTGGCAGATCTTCTTCTTCTCAGCATTCACGCGCGGGCACAAGCTTTAGCCTTGATTTTGAAAATTGACCTGACACTTTCGTGTACTCTTGTTGTCACTTCCCCAAGTTTTACCTTTTTCGAGACTTCTTAATTTCATTTCAAATTTGTTACTTGTTCGTTTTAGAATTTTGGAAGTTTTAAAATCTTAACTTAAGCCAAATCTTGTGGTTTTCATATCTTTTATTACGGAGTTGGACTTAAGCCTCATTTTCGAAAAATTATTTTTATATGTACTATACAATGATCGGGCACACTGTGGCATTGCAAGATACCCATTTGTAGATGCTTCCTCGTAAGAGTTTGCCCCTGGAATCCTGAAGTGGCGGCCCCATGAGCCACGTTTGACTGATTACGTGATCAACTTTGAAAGGAAAAATGGGCTTTAATACCAACGTACACGTACAGGTACACACGTACAATTGAAATACTTAGACGAAATAAGGAACTTCTTTGGCGGAAGTGGAATAATGAATCGTGAATCATAGCAGTTAAAATGGAAAAAATCATCAATTTTCTTGTTTAAAACCACGGAATCGTGGATTGAGATATTGTTAAAAAAGCGAATCACACATATCGAAAAAGGAATTATGAAATAAATCATGAATCATCGGGGTAAAATGAAAATAAATAAAAAATAAATAAAACGTCAAATTTTTGTCCCAGGGAGGCACCAAAAGTTTTGACATTTTGCTAGGATTTTGTACCGCAAGACATTTCAGTCATGTTTTAATCTGAATAAACTGGTTATCACTCTTCCTTACAGCATCGGGACAAAGTCTGCAATGTCTGTATTGCCTCAAAGTTAACAGCGGAAGGTGTTACGACGGCAAAGTTCAAGTTTGTGCCAGAGATCGAGAATCACTGGGTACCAGGCAATGTTATTCCGCAGCGATCAGATATTGGGACGAATCGAGATTTCAATCTCCCTCAATCTATGGTGGTTACGTCCAGGGATGTATTGATTCATGCGAAGGTAAACACCTGCAAAATTAAACCAATCATACTTAATATGATTAGCTGGTAATTTATTAAAACATTAATAATTCCTTTTATCTAAAAAAGAAAGAAACTACTTTGTTAGGTATAGTGACGCAAAGGAGAGGAATTTAACAAGGGACATATTTCAGTTTTGACCCATAACCTGAAATGAGCGGTTAAAAATTGCCAATATCATGGCCGACGACATAGCTAATACGTTGGATGGATCATTTATTTTGTTTTTCATGCAAACAGTTCCTGATAAATGTGTTATCCTTCTATTTTTGCCCACGCCTTTTCCTCTTGATTCAGTTTTTCAGTAGCTATGATGAGCCAACTCGTAATACACACCGATTCCTTTTATATTAATTTAAAAAAAAAACAAGTGATAAAAGCTATTTCACTGGCCTTATCACTTTTGTCTTCTTTGCATAGACGAAAAAGCAGCTTGTGCCGCTATCGCTGGCTTGCTGAAAGACCGTAAACTTTGGACGTTAACAGAATGTAAAATTCACTGCTGTACGGGCGACAAGTGTAACACTAAAGAAGTATTCCTACCATACCCTGGAAGCGACGGTGTGTATTATTTTGATGGGAGCAAACTACAAAATAATTTTTCTTGCATTTTAGTTTGTTTCATTTCAGTTCATATACGCGCGGACCCCGGCATAATCCCTACTATTTTCGTGACTATGCAAATATTTTCATTTTTCGTTGGAGCTCTGTCTATCTTCTGCTTCGCTCTTCCCTCAGTTCTGACTCCAAATCGTGCCTTTCGTTTCATTTCCTCTCTTTTCTTTGCCTCTTTTTGGCTCAAAGACTTTCTAATTGTAAATGTACGCTCTTTCTTGGGTCTTTCTTATCTTCTTTCCTTATGTCAACTGGCTAGCGTGTTTTCCGCAATTTCCTTTCAAAAGCTGGGTTCAATTTGGCGTATATAGCGTTGACCCAAATCCGGCTTTACTGGAAAAAAAGCAGTTCAATCCTTGTGAGTGCCGAATATATCGTTGTTTTACTCCCCCCTGACCCTTCTGCCGTACCCCTCCACATGAGCTAACATTAGAATCGATTGCCCTCCCTTGCAAGTGTAGTTGAACTGACGGGGACACTTTAGCTGCTGCGCTAGGTTCCTCATCTTACGATGTGTCGAAAGGCTGAGGAAGCCCTGCCCTAGGTCGCCTTGGATATTGGCGACCTAAGATGGTCCCAGCATGGACCAATATGATTCCATTTTCGAGAACTGAATAAAGAACAAGAAATTTTGTATTAAGATGCAACCTAGGATAAACAAATTTGGCAGTTGTTCATGTTTGTTCATCTATTTATGACAGCAAAAGTTAACGTAAAGTCATTCTGAAGATAAGCCCATTGCCACATGGTCGCCATTCGTTATACCTTTTACATAATTTTACATTGCATGCCACTCCGCCCTTACCCTATCTAAACTCTAATGCGGTACTAAGAACATAATAGAGTGAAAGTTGTATGCCAAGATTTGTCTTTAAATCGCAATAGCAAAAAGGAATATAAAAAGAAACATACGGAAAAAACAAAATAACGAATTGCAGCTTCTTTTAATGTCAGTGTTCACATCTTCCATTAATTGCTTTTTTTGCACAGGCTTCAGCACAAAGCGACCAACTGATCACTCTTCGTTGTCAACTGAGTCGTCAAATGTGTCGTCAACTGAGTCGTCAAATGTGTCGTCAAATGAGTCAACTAAAACAACTAAAGGAAGTCGCGGCAGTAGGCTCGCGTCGTTCTACGCGTTCACACTCGCGTCGTTCTATACGTTGGCAGTCGCGTTTGGTCATATCTTTCACCAGTTATAAAAGCAGAAGATGAGAAAACGAAGAAAGACTGAAAGTAAAATAGGAAATTTAGTGATCTATTACTGGCTTTTTCTATTAATTTGATTGTGACAAGAAAACATCAAGTTATTGATCCTTTTGTTGGAATTATCTTCATAAAGAATAAACAGGGCAAACTTTAATCAAATTTTTGTTCTCCTTTGTATTCTGAAGCTCTTTTCAATATCAGACAGTTCAATAAGAGGTTTGGTCCGTTTTTCAATAACCCAATCGGATTTTCCTTTCCATCCTACTTGTGATAGTTCTGTCCAAGTTGTCACAGTCACGTCTGATTTTATTTCAAATCCGTTGTGTACACGAAAATCGCAGAAAACGTCACGAACCCCAGGAAGGATGATAAACGTGACTAACCCATACTTTCATTTCATGTCAGATGTTATATTTCTTTTAAGGCGCACAGTGAATGATAACGTGAATGTAAATATTGAAACAAGACGGAAATCGTACAGGAAGGAGGAAGTTAACTTCTCTTGGGGGCGAAAAAAGGTTGTAAATAAAATGTTGCCGTCAGTGGGACAATAAATGAATGCGTTAGGATCGGTCAAAAAGTCTGCTAGATACAGCTAAAATCTCCGAGTTTAAGTCGTTTTCGCATGGCGAACTTGATCGGCAAACACTAGGCCTGGAAGATTCTCCCAAATCGTGTTCAGGAAACGAGGAACAAATCAGCTTGAGTGATCCAGGGTGGGTCGTAGTTGCTCGAAAAGCGTTCAGAATTAAACTAGAGACAAAAATAAATTTAAAAAAAAAAGGGAACGGCTTTGTGGAGGTGGGAGTGAAAGCTGTCTCCTGTTGAGCAGAGGACGCTTAACCCTTGGACCTGTCAAGTGATGAATAACTGACTGTAAATATATTAAAATGATATTCATATTTATTTGGAAACAACATAGTGACCTGCTCCCAGTTGGAATTTGAAGCGCGAGAACCTTCCGGACACAAAATTTCCCTATAAGCGCCGTGAATCAAGCTCTCGGTTGACCAGCGTGGGTGTCTGTCTGCCTGTGTGAGATGGCTAATGTCCAATTGCAATGAGGCGGATCTCTAAACAGGCACCGACAGTATAAAAACAACCAGCCTGAATAATTAGTCAATGGTAAACAACGTCATATTGGCTTGACTTCTTTCGGGAGCTCACGGTGCCTCAATCGAGCTCTCGTCGTGTTTACGTAAATTCAGTCTATGAAATCGGATCATCCTGACCACTTGTAAGAATTCAAATGACTACCAACTTTTGCCGTGATGTTTAAAAACCTTTTGATGCAGTTTTCACAAAATTTTACCGTGGCAAATGTAATTATTATCCGTGCTAAATAGAGCCATGTGATAAAAGTAGTCTATTCAAAGTGATTTGAGTGAAACCGAGAAAACATTCACCTCTCTGATGATTTTCCGGCCATTTTCTCTATTGTGTGGCGCGTGCTCCGCCGATTCATTTTGAAATTTACCGCCGGTTAAGTCCAAACAAGTTCCTTGATTAGTCGCGGCATTCGCGTGATGTAGTTTTCGGTAATTTAGGACTGAGGGATTAACCTGAAGTAGATGTTGACATAATTACCATAACTATGCGGTACTGACTCAAAAATTCTGTCGTGACACTTGTGGGTCACCATGTTACCCCTAACTCAAATGTTGGCTCAAGTTCCTAGAAGAGTGGAACTTCCGAATTTCTTAGAATTTAAACGCGGAGGTTGACCTTTCGAAATTCGTAGAATTGCTGCAGCTAATTAGTATGGGTGTAACATCTTACGGAAAGCAAGAAATCACAGGGAACTAAAGATTTGTTCAAGTAGGTTTATTTCATATTCTTCTTCGATCCTAACAATTGAAAATATTTGTTTCATACATTTGGTTTGAAAGATGAGCTATCAGAAACCCTATTTCAGAGAGAAAATCTTGCATTGTTGCGTGTGAGATGGTGATTTAAGATTTTATGGTCGGTCATTTGAACGAAATCTCACTTATTCAGTATAAGGAAATACAGGAGTGCTCTTAGTGTACCTTCAGGCGTCTGTAGAGGTATACAAACGTTTACAAGCGTTAGATATAATCATTTGGTTCCCAAAACTCGACATTCACATTAAAGGTTTGGCTATATTGAAGAAAAGTTTGAGTGTAGTTTAGCAAAAAACAAACACAACAAAGAGTCAACCTTAATTATAATCGACCCGATGACTTCATTAACTGGCTTCACTAGTCTTAGCATAATACGTGCTCGCTCTCTTTGATACGAAGCAATGATGAATTTCTTTAAAACATGATACGTAAGAAAGTAAACCTATCTGTACGGAGGTTATGGGACTTAAATTTATTTTTTAACAAATGGACTATCCAGAGAAAGCGGCGACACTAGTGCCTATTATATAATTATGCAGACAGACAATTCTGCCGAGAGTCGTAAACAAGTTCTAAATGAATTTCGCATCAATTGCAAGCTTAACTTTTGATCTTTTACTGCGTTGATGTGTATCACTGACTTCTTCGTGATATGTTCCGTAACTCTTTCTTCTCGTACACAATAAGAGCCATCTGCATTTGCAGCAACATTTGCAATTTAATTTGCAATTTAACATGGTTGGAGATCAAGCGGAACCAATAAGGGGGTGTATTACTTTATTACAGCTTGTGGTTTCACATCCCTCATCCCCTCTTTTATTTGATATTACATTTTAAAGCGCAAGCTGAACACAATTCAAAAGTGCTCATTCCTCATTCTCAATTTTAAAAAAAGAAATACATTTTTACTACCATTTGAAGTACTCCCAGTCAGTTTTGGATCTCAAAAGGCCCCTCAATACTGGCATCAGTATTCAATTAATAGATGTATACAGCGAACATGGGTTAATTTTACGACCATTATGGGAATATAAACTGAGGACTCCAGCTACTGTCTTTTAAATAAAATCATAATATTAGGTCAACATCATACAGGTTTTACAGTGTCAGAGTGACTACTGAACTTTGCTTATAATAAGTTATTCAATCTCTCAACCTAAAGTACAATTCTTTGTCATGATAGACCTGGCATGATTGAAGATCAAAAAGATGGGTGCACCCCCCTTTGCAACTATTTTTTAGCCTCTGCTGTAGTGTCTTTTGCAATTGTATCTTTTGGAATAGCAACTTTTTCCAAACTAAAATAATTTTCACTTCATAAACATTGATTTATCATAATTGTTAATTCTCATATGCTTAAGTGCATCTAGGAGTAATGTTTAGCAATGGGAAATTACAACATCAATTTTAATTTTAAAGGAAAGAAAAATTGGTTAGAGGCAAGATTTTCACAATTCTTTCAAACGTATTCATGATTGGGCTGTTTTCCTTAGGGATATAATCACATTTCTAACTTTTTTAAATGTATCAAAATTTGATCTAGTCACTCGAAGTGCATTTTCCTTTATAAAAGTTTTAATTATGAAAGGCATTTTTGTTTACATAGCTGGTTTTAACCATTTTTCAAGTAGATCAAATTTTCAAATGATTGAAGGGATTTTCACTCTTGTGAAGAACTTTTCAACTATGAGAAGCATTTTTGTTTACACAGCAGTTTAAAATAATTTTCACTACATAAACTTTGATTTATCATACCGTAATTTCCGGTCGATTACCCGCACGGCCGATTACCCGCACCGGCCGATTATTGCATACGGCGAAAAAAAAGTCAACGGATTACCCGCACCGGTGGATAACCCGCACGTTGTTATTCAACTTTTTCGGTGGCGAAAACGTGACATTAAGGCGATACATTTCAGTCTTTCGATTCAGACATGTGCACAATTCTGTGTCAATATTAGCTTATACTTTATTGATTGATTATTGCTGCTGCTCTATTACCGATTTCATCGGCAAGAGTTATTACTCTAAGCTTATAATCAAACGTAAAACTGTGACGTGGGCGTTTCACAGCAGGCATTTTAACTTAATTGGTGACTCGTGGATACACTTATCGCGAATGATCGAGGTTTATAATTCTTATTCAGTCAGTTACCTTTTTATAGCATGTAGGAGCGTAATGAGCAATATCCATTGTTCATTTGTCGTTAAAATACTTTTTCAGCGCGAAATTAGTTAAGTTTCGCACCTATTATTTTCAACATTCTGGTGATGCATTTGGGATTTAAAATTACTGTCGGCAATTTCTCAAAAAAATCGATATCTCCTGTTCTACTGGGCCTAACAAGTCCCTTAAAACGGGAAAATTCTCTTTAGCTCAAGCTAGTGAAAACTGGAAATTTGTTACTGATGCGCCGGATATCCTTGGATTATTTTTGTCACCATCAAGGTTTTGTTTTCACGCGTGCCGATAAAAATTTGTTTGTCACGCAACTAATTATGCGTGAAATAAACTCGAGTTGGCATCATGTTTTCGTGCCGCTTTGTGGCACTTTTGATACAATAAAATTCATTTGAGAGGTGGAAACGCAGGTAGGTGAGAAATTTTTTCAATTCAACTTCCAGAAGAATTTAAAATTGTCACATAACCCGCACCTCCCTATTACCCGCAGTGGCGCGGATTTAATGCAAAATCAACAGATTACCCGCGGGTAATCGACCGGAAATTACGGTAATTGTTAATTCTCATATGCTTAAGTGCATCTGGGAGTAATGTTTAGCAATGAGAAATTGTAACATCAATTTTAATTTTAAAGGTAAGAAAAGTTGGCCAGAGGCAAGATTTTCACTATTCTTTCAAATGTATTCACGATTGGGCTGTTTTGCTTTGGGATATAATCACATTTCTAACTTTTTTCAATGTATCAAAATTTGATCTAGTCACTTGAAGTGCATTTTCCTTTATAAAAGTTTTAATTATGAAAGGCATTTTTGTTTACATAGCTGGTTTTAACCATTTTTCAAGTAGATCAAATTTTCAAATGATTGAAGGGAATGAAGATTTAGATATATGAAAATTCACATATTTGCACTGCGGTGGAAAGATGAAATTAGAAGATCCTCGCAGCTAAGAACACTACTGAAACTAGTAGTTGTAAGTAGGACCTGAAAAAAATTTCAGGCCCGTACGGGATTTGAACCCATGACCTCTGCGATACCGGTGCAGCGCTCTACCAATTGAGCTAACAAGCCAACTGGGAGCTGGTCAATGAATTGGGTACAAATAAACATCCGAGTGAATGAAGATTTAGATATATGAAAATTCACATATTTGCACTGCGGTGGAAAGATGAAATTAGAAGATCCTCGCAGCTAAGAACACTACTGAAACTAGTAGTTGTAAGTAGGACCTGAAAAAAAATTTCAGGCCCGTACGGGATTTGAACCCATGACCTCTGCGATACCGGTGCAGCGCTCTACCAATTGAGCTAACAAGCCAACTGGGAGCTGGTCAATGAATTGGGTACAAATAAACATCCGAGTGAATGAAGATTTAGATATATGAAAATTCACATATTTGCACTGCGGTGGAAAGATGAAATTAGAAGATCCTCGCAGCTAAGAACACTACTGAAACTAGTAGTTGTAAGTAGGACCTGAAAAAAATTTCAGGCCCGTACGGAAGCCAATGGACTTCCAGTTGATATTGAGCTCTTTCTTTCAGTTACATAACTTCTATTATTAGGATGAACATTGGTAGACTTTGATTTGAATTTATCATCGGCATAGCTGTTGGAAAACGAACTTGATTGAAGGGATTTTCACTCTTCTGAAGAACTTTTCGACTGCAATGATCCTAGCGTCCCAGAGCATTTTGGTCAACCAACAAGTCATAGAAGCAATGTTGCCAGAAAGTTATCTCCATCACATAAGTAACTTTTCACGCTTTTATTTTTCTTTCAGATGGGGAATTTGCTATCACGGGAAAACAGACCCAAACATGACTATGGATCATCAAGATATGGAGGAGCCACCTCGAGAGGAGGAGGTTATTCACCAATATATGGAGCTCATTCTGCTGTTTCTAGTGACAGTGGAAGTTACCCATTCATCAACAATTATCCAACTGTAACCAGTACTTCAACAGTCCCACCTGTAAGTGCTACCCCTGTAAGTGCTAGTGTCGAGCGGCCTTCAACAACATCCTGGGCATCTTCCTATCACCCCAATGGCGTCACTAGAAAACCTTATGAAACTGATGGTGTTATCAAATCAGCATCAAGGGAAACTTATGGAATTTCTGCTGTGAAGCCCACAAGTACCGGTTATTTTGCCACTGTGGAATCAAAATCGAATTGGCCAAATGTAACTCCTGTCACAAGACGTGTTGGAGAAAGAAGTAATTACACAAGTTCTGTTTGTGGTGATAAGACTTCGTTTTCCAACAGCTATGCCGATGATAAATTCAAATCAAAGTCTACCAATGTTCATCCTAATAATGGAAGTTATGTAACTGAAAGAAAGAGCTCAATATCAACTGGAAGTCCATTGGCTTTCGACTGGACACCCTCATCTGAGGATGTCAAAACTACACTCGTCCCAAGTGTGTATGCCACCCCCTTACACAACAAAAAGTACACTGGTGGTGATGCCAAATCAACATCACATGCATCTAAAAGTTATCATGCTGTTCCTGGCTCTAGATTTACAGCAGAAAGGAGAAGTTCCACCTCAAGTGTTACGCCTGTAGGACCCAAGCGGCATCCTAGCGGCCGACGCAGTTCGTCAACAAACAGGCGGAACATCAGTCATGATGGCAATCGAGGAGATGGCAGAAGACGAGTGGCAACATACGGTGCTAGAGGAGGAGGCAGGGTGATCATTTCTGTACCCCTTAACCCGTGGCAAGTGCTGGGTCTCAATTCATCTGATGCATCTCGCGAGGCTATAAAAGCAGCTTTCAAGAAGAAGATACACCAACCAGTGCGTCAGAATCGTGCCATGGTATCAATTGCTCATCATATGCTGACCTCTCCAGCTGGCAGGTACAAGCGAGTTGAGGGCACAGATGAATTTGTGGTTACAAGGCGTGACCACTTCATGCTCGCAGCTTGTGGCCATACACACGAGCTCACCCTAAGGATTGCTAAGGATGGTAACATTGTCGAACGAAGGGATGAGCATGGTCGAACACTGCTTTACATTGCAAGTAAGTCAGGCTTTTATGATACCTGCAATTTACTTCTCCAGAAAGGTGCTTATGTCAATGAAGCTCAAAGAGATGGCAGCACTCCTCTCCACGGTGCAGCATTTTTCGGCCATGAACTAATTGTCGGTCTCCTACTTCAACACGGAGCAAAGAGTGATATCAGAAACAAATGGGGTAATACCGCCATTGACGAAAGCGCCACTCCAAGTATACGAAGTTTGATCCAAACCGCGTCCGGAGATGACATTTCTTCTCTTGCTGCCAGGCTCAAAGAGAGGCAACTTGTGAAGAGTGTACGACTCATTGAGTACCAAGGAGAAGTCATAGCAAAGGAGCTCACGCGTGATCCTCGTGGTCTGGATGCCCTCACGCGAGATGAGTTGAATAACATTCACAGCACATGGGAAACAGCATGGCATGGCACTCGTTATAGGTATCTGGAGTCAATAATTGACAAGGGCCTTTTACCCTCTGGGTCTAGTGGTATCAAACCAGCAAAGGGGCACTATAAACTTGGTGAAACGCATTTTGGCATCCGAGACTGGGCAGCAGCGATCTTTCTTTCACCAAGTATTCTTTACGCATCTCACGCCTGCTATTCTGAACGAATCTTTTCCGAGTCCCAACGGTGGTGCGTCCTTGTCAAGGCCTACTGTAAACCTGGTAGCTTCAAGTCATATGATCCAACCGTGTTCCAATACGAACCAATGGATGGTGAGCCAGACATGCCAGAGTATCGCATTCCAGTCACTGAAGCCGACAAAAATGTAATTCTGCGAGTTGAGTCCACACGCAGCGTTGTCGTCCAATCATTGATATTTGTGCGCCTCAGCTTTCTTGAAAATCAAAACATTAACTTTGAACAAGCAATGAAACTCTTGCGGTGATGTGACACATCAATCGCAATCGCCAACTATGGGTTGTTCGGATGGCGCCATCTTTTTGCCTTTAAAGAGCGTGCCAAGCTCCAAACAAAAAAAATAGCGAAACAACTCCAAAAACCATGAATTATTTTTTTTTTAACGATTGGATTCAGTTTCGCAGTTGTACTTAGTTAAACCATGATTCTTACTAACAGTAGGTTCTTTTACTTTTGGTGCACCCTGACACCGAACTAAGGTATGAGCTGTACATGACCATGTGAATTGCCTATCTCCAATATATGATAGCATAGAGATAGCCAGGAACTGAATATTTCAGTCACAGTTGTAAGCACTAAATAGATGACTGCTCGATTGAATACTCTAGATGGCGAAGATTATCATCTTCACTGTGTTAGGACTTCGTATAGCTTGCTACAAATGTTGCGGCTTCAAAATAAAAGTGTTTAACTGTAACAGTCTAATCAAATAATTTCTTTACATGGTGACGCTTGGTCAGCTCGGCCGAATCGGAATCTGTGTTGCTAAATAACCTATGATAGTTTGGTTTAAGACGAATTGCGACTCTGTACGGATACCTAGATCAATGCCAGCTTGCTCTGTCTACGCTTTAATCTCCGCTTTCTGTCGAGGAAAGATCACTCAATCGTTCAATGTCACCCTAAGGTGAGACACTAATTTGCCATTTTTTGCCGAAGGATGATGAGATTGAAGTATAAATACGCGGAAAACCTTTCCCGGAGGATGTCCACGTTACGAATTAAAAAGTTCTCAGGAGAGATAACTCCTGGAGAAAAGCAATTCGCCTTTGCAGGACGTAGTTAAGTGTGAAAACTTATCAACAATTCACGATTTCGTTTTCTTTCCTTCCTAATTCTGACACTCGTTCTTTGTGAGAAGTTTCCTCGCACCCCTTACCTACCTGACCTTCACAAAACATTCAAAAAAAAGTATGACATGGTCATCAATTATCGTGTTTAATCAACAGTAACTACGAACGTATAACATGTTCACCACTTCATATGGCAAATAAATACAAATACAACACGTGATATAATTTAAATTACGTTTTGATATCCACATTATGGTAAAGTATGTTGCAGAATCTTTTCGCTTATGAGTAAAAGACTGCTGGTCGGCTCTCATGGGTGCTACAGAAGAAGCAATGAGGCCCAAAGGTTTCGAGCCGGCGAGCGATTTTCTGTATAAGGAATTCTTTCTGGGTGGTGCAAAGTAAGTAGGCAGCAAATTTGTTTCAAATTGCGCTGAAAACTAAGATATCAACTTTGACTACAATTGATTATTTTGACTTGGATGGATTTAGATTTACATGACTGTATCAAGGTATGTGGCAAATGAGTCTAGTTCTTCACCAGACGCGCTGGTGAACGCTTTGCTGAGTTTGTGAATTTCCACCGTTCCGCTTTCGAACACCAAGACCTAAAAATATGAAGACAAACAAAAAGCAAGAAGTTGCGATGTAAAAGTGGTCGTAGACCCAGCACGAGGCTGCCGAAAAAATAGTAACTAAAGAACAAAGTAACCTTGCCTAACTCTTCTCTTAGCTAAAACGATGTGATACTGACGGAGTATAATGACAAACAAAGATCAATTACACTTAAAATGATAGTTAACGTAGAAATTGAATTTCATACCAATTCGGGATTTCTTCCTGGAATACCAATTCCGGATGCTGAGTAGTCATTAGACAGTTCAAAACATACAACTCTGGAAGAGATCAACGATAAAAACAGCAAAAAATAAATAAATAAACGGTAAAATAATGGATAAATATTGAATCCATGCATAGGTAAGGAAAAGGGTTTCACACCACAAAATTTTACTCTTTCGACTGGTATTAACTTCAAATCCACACAAATCGAAACGACCACTTACATAGCAAAATTATAAATTCACTATAGCCTTTTCTTTCCACACTTTAAATCTAAAGTTAGGAATGGAGTATCTCTCTCTCACTTATTGTTCATCCATTCTTAGAAAAGAAACTGGGCACGCAGATATGATTAACACGGAACAAAAACCCAGAAAAAGAAAACGTCTGTGCACTTACCGTCCATGTTTGAATTTCTCAACGGCTACTGGACCTTGGTCACTTTTAAGTAAGTCCCTGATAAATGAATCAACCATTAATGGATTATTTATGGCTGAGCGTGGTTGGGTAAGAGAAAAATTTTAGAAGTGAACAAAGTTTCCCTTTCCATCTCAACATATTCGTTTTTTCTTTATATGATTGAGTCCAAAAAATCCTCAATTAAAAAAATTCCATAATCATTCCGAGGATACATAACCATATTTTCTTTAATTAAATGACCTCCCACAGATATAACAACCTGATTTTCACAAAAAAATTTTAAAACATGACTTAATACAATGAAATAATTTAAACCTTAATTGAGGAATATACGTCACAATTATAAGATTTTTATATTAACTAAGGTTCTTCGTCTTTTGTCTCATTACACTACCCCACCCTCCCCTCCTCTACCCTCCCCTCCCCTTCCCTCCCCTCCTCCAGATGTGATGTGATGTCCTACCAACAAGAACGTTCACAAGTGACTGTTAGTATTTGGCAAAGGCACCCTCCAAGCTTATAGGGTCCCCCTACAAGCCTCACCAGATGTGTAGATTAGAATTTATATCCAACACATAAAATACACTAGGCCTGCTTCGAGACCACTGCACCGATATTATTCCATTCCCATTCGTGGATGTAGACCAGCTGAACAACGGTATTTCTATAAAAACAAAAGTAGAAACGTATATTGATGATACCCGTTCACTGATTAAATTTTCCATGAGATCTCTTCACACTTTTTTATCAAATAGCCATAACGTAAATTTAAATAATAAAGAGGGAGTCTTGCTGTTGGAGAGTTCCTATATTTTTTTAGCATATGTTAACCCTTCACTCCCTAAAATCAGTATGCATATTCTCCATACTACTCCGTAGACATTTCCCAGGGTTCTGACAAGGAGAATTTGTTCAGCAATCAAGAGGTTCTTTAGTTGGTGATCATCTCCTTTATTCTCATGACCTTAATGTTTGATTCGAGGATGATATTGTGAGGAGAAATTGGATGTTAGTCACTCTTAGGGGTTAAAGGGTTAAAACAGTGGATTGCGTTGAAGATGCTATTTATTTGACTACACAAATTCCAAATATCCTTTGCATTCACCTGCGAGCAACTCGCGCGGGATTTGCGCCAGAAAACTTTGTAATCGTAGCAGGAATAAATGAGTTAAAATCATCTTTTTGTGCTATTATCTCACTTTTTTAGTGTATGCTAAAACAATTAGTCATCCGTCCGGTAAATATCCATCTCTACCCATCTTCGCTTTAATGAAGAACTGTTAAAAATAATTACGCAGACAGTAATAAAAATCATGTTTATACTCACCGTTCTTCAAGTTAAACAGCCACAAATTCCCATCCTCTGTTCCTGCCTATGAAAATAGAGCAAATGATACATCTCAACCTGATGTCGCCCATTTTATGATTTAATCCAATCCGGTCTAGTTCAAGTAAAACCACTGGGAAAAAGACGCTCAAAACACTCAAGAGACAGTCGAAGAAGCCACCATTTACGGACTACGTGTGAGGATGGTAAAAAAACATCAACTCGCGACACGGTTGTTTAAGGGCAGATCCTAGGAGAAGTCTGTGGTCAGCGCTGCCCTCCCCATCAATTTTATTAACTGTTTATACGAAAATTTTCCCGAGTGGATCCTATTTCTTTTTAAAGAAATACTATTAGACGGTATTATTTCACCACTATGTGGTGTCAGTCATGTTCGACGTCATCGTATGCACACATGAAACGCTTTCCCCCACCCTATCCTCCCACCCTAGCCCCCCACCCTATCCCCCTGCCCCGGATGTCAACGAGTACGGCTCAAGAAGCTCGTATTCATTTGTTTATCTAGTTTTGACTATGGCCTTCTCAATGTTCTTATAGCGTGGAGGTAAATTTATTTCACACAAATATTACACATGATTAAACGGGTAGCTTACCAGCATACATGGCAACTGCCATGGAGAGAGATCAACAGCTGACACGTTCACTAAGTTCTCTAAAAGTAAAAAGTTCACCCGCGGTCAAAAAGCAGCAATACAACCTCTTAACCCTTCAACTTCCAACATCTATTTGTTGTCCCCTTCAGCTGTTGCACATTTTATTGCTAATAATATACATGAAAAAATTACGCGCGCCTGATTGGCTGAAAACGAGTGCACTTTTCATATAACACGGGTGCAAAGTTGTAACAGGAGTGCAAATTACAAATTGCGTGCGCGCTGCCAAAATCTCGTCCTGGATGGTGTATAAATGTTATAGGAAAAACTTACATGTTAATCACTTTTGGAAGTTAAAAGGTTAAAGAAAACAGTCTGGTTTTTTGTTTTTTTTTTCCGTACCGAGCGGACGACAAAGACGATAGACGAAATCAGAGGTTAAATGTTTATAGTAATGCTATAGTTACCAATAGCAGGTCTGTGTGCTTTTGGAGGAGCTCGGCTACCATGCCTTTCACAATGAAGAATATAACCCTAACAAAGAGAGATACATATTAAAATCAGGAGGACATGAAAAATGATCACAATCAAATTTGCTTTTAAAGGTGAGACTGACAGCACGTCCATCTAACTTATGTTAGAGTATCATTTTTAAAATAAGCGCGCATTGGATATGAGATGGTGTTTTGGCGAGTTTCTTCTACGAGGTAAATCTCTGATTTAAAGACAACAATTTTAAGTCAATATCATCCCAGCGCCGCTAAGAATTATGGCCGCTCAAGGTTTCGGCTCACTTGTTAAAATATTGTTTTGTTTTTTCAAGGACGAGTCACAGATTGAGAGAAAACAGTAGAATTTTTTTCTCACTTACCCCATCTGTGCCGACGTAAATGTGATTAGGATCATGAGGTAAAAACCTCATTATTAGCGACTGTAAATTCATCTCGCTACGAAAATCCCTGGAACGAAATCAAGTTCAGTATTATGCGCCAACAAGGCAAGTTGACCAACCATATTCCATATTCCTCTCTGCCTCATAACGTTTCATTTCTTTAAGTAAAAGCTGGTAATTAAACTGTTAATGACCTAACTAATTAACGTGTTCCTTCAATCACTTAATAAATCTGTTGGTCGTGGTTGGCACACACGAGCTATTTTAACCTTCAGCTTTGCACAGCGTGGGGTTACGATGTTCTTTCCACAAAAATTACAACGGTCAAGCAGTGTAACGGTTCTTCAGAGAAATATCAATAAATGATCTCTATACAATTCCTAAGGTGCTGACAAGGAGAATTTGTTTAACAATCAAGAGCTTCTTTGGTTGGTGATCATTTCCTTTATTCTCATGACCTTAATGTGTGATTCAGGGGTGATATTGTAAGGAGAAATTAAACGCTGGTCACTCTTAGGGGTCAAAGAGTTAAGGCGCACAACCGCAACAAACCTGAACGGTGAGTGAAGAGATATTGAAGAGCTTCTGATGAGTTTAATTTTTCCTCCAGGAGACAAACCTGAGTAACATGAAGGGAGACAAAGTCAGGAAGATTCCTTATTATGCTGCATATGAAACATCAGTTATCAGATACACAAGGGAGAGGTTCAGCCATGAGGAAAAGGTCGATCCTCTACTTCAACTCTCAACACTTTTCAGAATTATTCCTTTGGTGGCAAATAGCTAGAATAAATATTATGCGATTTTTTTGTAATTAAAACAAGCCTTTTTGTTTGATTTTCTTGTTTGTTGGTTTCTATTTTGCCTCAATTTTTGGTATTATTTGTCTCTAAAAGGACATCAAAAGAAAGATACCACGCCTAAGTACAAGGGTAGTGAGCCTATATAAAGTTGCCACTGACCTAGATCCGATTCTGAGCCTGCATCGTTCGCTCTGTCGAGTTCCACAACAACCTATGATTCACAAACGTTATTACTTAACACAATAATTAATGAGGAGAGAAATAGATCGACCAGAATACAATAACAATGTCATATTACCCAGAGGTTAATGGCAGCATTTTCTTCCAACGACGCTAATTGAAACGATAAGCCTGACATATCATCTGCAAAAAAATGAAACGTTAAAAATCGTTGAACTATTTGGACTAAAAGGCGAGAGCCATAATCCAAGACAGTACGAATGAGGATCTATCGCTTAAAGAAAGGAACGAGAAGACGAACTTAGCAACATATCGATCACTATATCTCTCCGTTACTACATGCGTTATTATTGGTCAATTTAGCGGGTTGTATTTCAACGTACCATTTGTTTCAATCGGAATATTCCCCTTCTATTTGATCCGAAAGACATAATAAATATCTTATCAACTTCGTTTTCTCGGTCCGTACTTTAAGTTTCGGAGCCTCGTTTTTACAGCTCAGATTAATGGTTCGCGCCCCATGTGCTTGACGTAGTGTCTGAGCCTTTTAAAGAAACGATTTCTGATCACACCGAATGGTTTCAAAAAACATAGGCTAGTATTCTTTGTCGGCTCGTGCTAACCGGCCTACGTCTGAAGCAAAAAAACTGAATGCGATAACGTTGTTCAGTCATTACGACATTTTAATCCACAATTTAAAGAGGAAACATTTTAAATGTTCATTTGCCCACCAAAGTTGAAGACATCTGGAGATGACGAACACGAAATTTTAGTGACAAAACACAAAACCACGTTTAACAGGCCTTACAGTGGAGCAAAGACCGCCTCATTGATAAATTAATAAGTGCGCGCAGTCCCTAAGAGATATAAAATACAACTAAGGATTGGGATTCAGCGAGCTGTCAATGATTAATGCAAGCTAACCATTTGAGGTAGACGCTCGGAACTTTTGTACCTGCATTGTGTTTTACTAATTTTTGATGTGCCACCGATTTTGGGAACTTCAGCTTGTTACAAAACTAACAAAGCTTTCCCATTGATAAATAGGTACTTAACTTTACTAAAGCTAAATCAGTGCTCGGTTCTGTTACCTGACGTTACACTTGTTCCCCCAGAAGCCCTTGCGCTGTTGGAATAACGGGGTAATAAATAAGGTCAATGAAAGAGAAAGGGGAAAGTTTCTAAAGAAAATCGGTGCTGCGTCAGAGGAGGGGGGGGAGTTTATCACAAGATAATTTGGTGTTATCAACTGACTTGAAAATATAAATTGACCACAAAAAAGAGTTTCAAAAGCCGATGTTTACGCGTTAGCCTATCGTCAGAGCGAATGTTGAGACACTAATAAGCCCTATAGCTTAAATCTCTAAGGTGGCTAATTTACGTTATCAACTCAGTTGACGAAACAAAATTGTCCATGGAAAAGGTTATACTAAATTAGAAAAAAATCATTTTATCCAGTAATAAATATTAAGGAAAAATAAATCATGTCACACGACATCCGGTTCACGGGGATTAAACTTTAAATCATCGTTACCGTTGATTCTCCTACTATTTTATCTTCAAATCAACAAGATACAAATTCTTCTTCTACGGCAAAAGATAAGAAAACGAACCACGACCTCTTATCAACAATTAACAATTCATTTTGATCTAAAATAGCCATTTGAGGTTAAACTTAACATGAGGAATTTAAAGCCGACTTTTGATAAATTGCACATATATCATTGCCGTTCACTGTTTGATACAAATTTTCACTTAAACGTCAAAGAAACAGTTCATTCTTTACCTCGTGACGGCTGAAATCTCTTGCAACAGACGTCTGGAGTACAGAGATTGTAATTTAAAAATATATGTACTCGTTATCATTTATAGGTCAATTAACACAAATTTATTTCTACTTTGCTCTGATAATGGTGTGCGCTCATAATAACATAACTTCCTAAAATTATTTTAATAACCTTATGGGTTATTTTAAACAAACTTGGTGATAATTTAATCGAAATACCTTCATCGTCTTTACTTCAGTCTACTTTCCTATTGTCGGAATTTTTATTTAAACGAGAACAGCCGCTTGAAGCGTCGAGTTTATTTTCAATTAAAGCTTTAATGCGTGAAAAAAACTTCTGAGTTTTAATTTACAAACCATGAGATGATACAATAATTTTAGTTTGGTAAAAAGGTTAAATCAATAGAGGTCTCATCAATTCTTAAGGAAGTCTTTCATCCACTAAACGTCTGTTCAATTTTATGGGAAGTTTTTAAGGCTATATACATGTCAACGCACTTCATATCATTGAACAGTGACGAAAATCATTCCCTTTTGAAAACTACTCTGGAGATTATTTCATTCAAAAACTGCCACGTATGTCATAATTCTTAAAATTTATGGCTAATCCAGGACACAACTTATTTGGGTTTTCAAACAGACCGGCACAGATTCACTGCATTTCGACTGAGTGTTACTAAACCAAAACCAAAGTAATCCCAACAGGCAATCAGTAGCATGTAAAATATCACAGGGAGCCAATGAGAACTCAGATTAAGACAAGAAAATTTCCCCAAGCGCGGGAAAACACGAGCAACAAAGTTGCATTTGATTTTAGTTTTGAATCTAATTGGTTGAGAAAGTGGCGCCAGTTTTATTCACCAATTACAGGGCAAAATATAGCAAAGCTAATGCAATCGTGGATTACTCACTTTAATACAAAATTGCTCTATCAAAATCAACAACGCAACACGGTTTTTTGTCATGTAACCAACACTGACCTGTCTCCAGGCATGACGACGGGTAGAATCGATACGACCGGACTCAGATGACTTTCATCCTTTCTCAATACTCCAGCTGAAAATATTAGGAAATAAAACTCGTAAACGTCCTCCTGTAGAAGCCATTAAAGAAAATTTCACAAATAGTACTGGAACAACTTGATTGGTAACACCCACCTGTGCTGAATGTTGGCGGCCTTAAGAAGACCTCGCTGTCTCCAACGGAGATTTTAGAAAATGAATGCATCAACGAAGACTCTCTTAAGTCCCACGCTACGACTGATCCATCCTCCTGGAAATGTAACAACGCCTCTGTTAAACTTCGTTTTTAATGGGGTAATTTAGAGTTATCAATTGAGTTGATAATCCTTCATTTCCTTGTTATATTTTCCCACCGACGCAGCACCACAGTTTCTTTAGAAACTTAACCCCTTTATTCATTTGTTTTTAATATTTGATGAGGAATGTGGATGACGCGGTCGACCAGGGGTCGGCTGGCTGGACTTCAAATTGAGGGGCCCGCTTCGATCATTGACTGGGGAGACTTGCTCGAGACACTTCAGTACTCTAGAAGTTTCTCCCTCCACCCACGAGTAAAAAAAAAAATTCCGAAAAAACTGTCCAAGAAAGTAAACGAAATATTGTCAAAGGGATGATCTGCCACGTGCTAGCACACCGTCGGGGGGAGAAGGGGAGCGACATACCAAGTCGCTAATGCTACAGGAATCGGGATAAGTTCCTCAGGCAATAACAGCCCCACGTCAATAGAGCCGTGGGAAGAAACCTTTAGTGCTAAACATCTCATGTCACCATCCTGTTCATGCAACCGCTTTTTAATGCCGCGCATGAACTAGAAGCATCTTGTGACATAACTTTCCCATTTGCAAGAAACTTGATCGTTACAAAACATTGTCAAAGCACTCTTTTTCTTTCAAATGTAACGCACTCGCAAAATAGCAATCGACTATAGTTATGCGACTCAACTTACCAGGCCAGCGAATGCCAAAGTCGCCTTTGAAGGACTTAAACAACAGCAGCGCGGCGTAGATTCACAGATTAACACTCTGGGAAAGAAGAAGAGCAGATCAGGCAACAACATCTCTCTTCTGTACCATCAAAGTTGAAGAAACTGAGTCACTATCTGGTTATTTCAGAAAAAAGAGTCACGCAAAACGTTTTAAGAGCATTAAGAAGGTTAGTGATGGTGGTCTTCACGTGACCTACCCTTCATCGCGCTGTAAACCCTTTAACTCCCAGAAGAGATTAACATGTAACTTCTCCCTATATAATATCCATACGTTATTCAGCAGACAGGTAACGAGAATACTCAAACTTATCTGATGGAAGTTGTTATCTTGACCTAACACCACATTCTCGTAACTTATTTACAAGGAAATGTGTACCAGCTACAAGGGAGAATAAACTATCAGATCTTCGGAGTTAAAGAGTTAATTAATTTGGTCAACCCACACTTATCTCATAACATACCCACACTTCGGTCATCTACATGTTCACTTATGACCCTTCATGAACCTAAATAAGCATTTAAACTGACCCAGTAAACGACCGATCACAGGTTACCTCTCACAGAAACTAAAATGAGACTTACTTTTGAGGCTCTGAGGGTTCATTGGTGTTCCAGAAACATACAATGCCCTTCTCCTGAATATTGGGTTGAGCCTACAATGAAAGATATTTTTAATTGGATTAGAACAATTGCAATCAATCTGAGCCGTAGACTGACTTTTCAGAAGAATTTTTCGATGGTCTTGTTAAACGTCATCAGAGTTAAAGGATGTTCATTGTGAGTTCGATCGATCGGATTTAAGGATGGATATGAACACCACTCTAGGATTAAAAATAAACTTGGTTTGAATTTATCCCACATAAAAGCATGTATAATGGCTGAGGTTTCGTGAATTATTGTTTTAACTGAAAGCGAAACAGTTGGAAACAAAAAAGGGGCAAAGCTATTGGCAAAGCTATTGGCAAAGCTATTGGCAAAGCTATTGGCAAAGCTATTGGCAAAGCTATGAATTTAAGTTATATATTTACACAAACTTAACGTTGGAATAATCTTTTTTTCGTCTTCCTGTTATCGTATCACTCCTATGTTTGCTTGAAGTACGGTCTGCCCGTTTTGTTTGAGCAGGCCGTGTTCAATTTTGAGAAAGTTCGTCACGTATTTACTTTTGTCGACCACTTTATTCTCTATTATCCTACTTATAGAGTAAGAACGTTTTGAAGATATACAGTGCAAGACTCACCTTTGAAGCAGTCTTTCCCTGTTCTTTCACGGCACCATAAGCAGTAAGCAAGAAGTATGTTTGAACTGGAGATATGTGGACACATGTAACTTGCCGTCCTAGTACGTCAACAACAATCGCCTTTTAAGTTAGTTTTTATTGATGTTTTCAGTAAAACTTGCTTCACTGCAGTGGTGCAGTTCTCATTTGCGTTTATAGGGGACCCAAAAAAGGAGTCAGAAGATGTTCAGTCTCTATTAAATGCTTTTACCCTTGTTGGAAGAGTCATTCGCGTATAATGATCGTACAGATGAAGGAAGTCCTACGCCTGACTGTCGGCAACACTCGGTTGTTGACAGTGATTGACGTTTCGACAACCTGAGAAGGTGTCGTCTGCAGGGTCAAAAGGATTTTTACTTCTACTGTTAAATTGTGCACTTAGTATTGAGAGGTCAGCGGTCGAGTTTGTGTTGTCAGCGTGTTTACTGCTCAGTAATGCTCAATATCTCTTAAGACTTGCTCAGCTAGTCAAAACTTCAGTAACGCTCACTTACAACCCGCAAGATATTCCTGGAGAGGGCCAAAAACGTACCCCACTAATTTTGATAGTTCACAAACCTTCAAGATAGGAGTGTTTAGTAGCGAGTTGAATGAATCCATCACTACACGTCATGTCTTTTCTGTCTTTAAACTGAGTATTTGTCTGCTCGCTAACGTTCTCTTCCAATATAATCAAACAAGTCTGCAAGACAACATAAAGGATGTCCTTGAAATAACTGGCACCCTTACAATGTGTGTTGCTCCAAATTAAGAAGAGATGTACTGGATAATGATATGTTGTTACGTCTATTAGTCTCTAGTTATATTTCAGTAAGTATCAGGAGGTGGGTTGTGAAACATTTTCAGTTTTTACTCAACGTCCGTTTGTTATCGCTGTCGCTTTCTTTGCCATAACTACTGTTGCAGTCATTGTTGTTATAGTCGTTACGTTACTTGTATGTCGTTGTTTTAAGTTTTGAAGTATGTTTAAAAGAAGAAAAGTTAAAAGAAACATCAGTTAACCTGAGCAGCCCGTTGAAGAAATTTTGACAATCTTAAGCTGTCGATGTTGGCCTTTTCTGCTAAGGTGGATAAATCTTTTTCTTGATCGTCTTCCTCGTCTGAAATGGAGTGCGGAGAACAACCAGAACACAATGAGGAAAAGTAGCTGTTAGAATTTCTTGCGGGGGGGGGGGGGGGGAAGCTTGAGGGGGGTTGAGAGCTACCAGTAAGAGGTGTGTAAGTTTACAAATCTATAATATCACCACGGGTGATCACATGTGCTGACAGTTCCTCTTGACCCGCATCACAAGCGTAAAATTCGGCTTCTTGGTTTTAGGTTTTTAATTTTTTCCAACATATTTTAGCGCTTTTCGATTGAGTGTCGTAAAACCAAAACCAAAAATCAAAGTAATTTAAACAGCCAATCAGAAGAAAGGAAAATACTCTGAAGAACCAATGAGAACTCAAAGTAAAAACAAGCAAACCGCCTAAAGCGCGGGAAAACGCGGGCGACTAAGCTGTGATTGGTGTTAGTTTTGCATCTGATTGGTTGAGAGAGTGGCGCGAGTTTCTAGACCAATCATGAAGCGATTTAAGTAAAACCAATGCCATCCCGGATTGAAAATGACTCTACCAGCAAAACAGGTAGCTGTTGTATCAACCTCGTTTCCATCGTCAATCAAGCCTTTGGACTGACAAATACGCATCCTCGTCCATTCTCTCTGTCTAGTATTCAGTCACACATTGCAGCTTCGTCGTTTCTTTATATAGCACCACAGATATAAGGGCTGACTCACCTCCAAATCCAGCAGCATCGCTCGCTGGATTTTGCGTCCACTTTGTTCTTGTCTCGATGTCTTCAGTCTGAACCTCTTTTTCAACATTATCTTCATTGTACTGGACATACGCCTACGAAACACAACCAAGACACTTGGTAGAGGTAAGGTGGATAAGCGTTTTTTTTTTTCCCTAAACCAACAGAAAGCTACAACAATGGTAAGCTGTTTATATCTTTACCTGTTTAGTGTCAGATCTTCCAAAGTTTTTTATGTACAGCTCATATTCGTTAAGAGGTGGCAACTCAAAAATATCAAAAACTGCAACATCGAGGTCGATCAAGTGCATCAACTCCTAAAAACGAAAAAAAATCAGGTATTCTTTGTGAGCAACGTTACAGTTTGTGCGAATTGAAAAGCTAATCCTACGTCTCTGTGGCTCAGTAATAGAGCATCGGAACGCGGAATCCGAAGGTCTGAGGTTCGATTCCTCGCGGGGACTCGGAATTTATTCTTTGTCCCACGCCCGTGACAAGACGAAAAATATATATCTCTAATTCTACATAAGTTTCTCATTTGCAATCAACCTCCATCTTGTCTATCCTGAGCCCTCCTTCTCTTTTCTTGTTTTATCACTGCCTCGTTTGTGTTATCCTTTATCAGTGAACTTATATTTTGTCGTCAACTTCGAGTTAAAGGAAGGTGTGAAACGCGTAAAATATGACAAATTATTTCAGGTCATATAGTACCATATTATGCCATATACACCATCTTATTTACATAGATGATGGCTAACACTTATGATCTATAAGAAACACTGTTTATCAGTCCTGTTGATTCACACCTTTGTTCTAAGATCAAAGTATAAACACATAAAAAACTCAGAGTTGTTTCCATTACCTGTCCCCTTTTTCTTGTCCGTGAAGCAACTTGATTAGTGATTTGTTTCTGTTTGGCAGCAACAAAGTTTATCCTTCCATGGCTGGCAGTGGTGGCACGGACTTTTTCTGAGAAAATTTACGACGCAGGGAAACTTTAAAACTTTATCTTTTCATTTATCGGTTGTACTTTCCCATTCTTAGATAACGTGTCTGGATATGAAAGCCAACAACGGTGCCGCAATATATAGCATGAATTATGGGGAGCGAATTTTCAGGAGAGGCGAACTTTCTATTGCAATTTCGGAACACCTCAACGATCCAAACAATAGCCGCCTCAAAAATTTGCGGAGATGTCGCAGAAATTTCGTTTCGGGGAAGATTTCTTCAAAAAGCCAAGAAAAGCGTCAAAATTCATGGACAGACCTTTGTATTACTTTTGCACAGTACTCTAAGATCTCTAAAATCTCCCTCTACGTACAAAATCTCTTTTGTCTAACTTCACTCACTGAAACTTAAAAAATTAGTGGAGCGTTCATATTGCTCAGTTAGTTTAACATGATCGGAATGTAGGCTTTCTAAACAAGGTCAAGATCTGATAATAACTAGTTCAGAGCTACGATTTTCCACCAAAATGAGAGCTACTCATCATGACTGTTATCTTTTATTGTTTGTTTAATAACCAAAATAATAATAGTAATTAGAACTCACCTCTATTTATTGGTTCTGAGTGTTCCTGAAAGAAATATGAATGGCTTAATAACAGTAAAAGGAATAAAAAAACAAGCAAACTTTTATAATTTTTTTCCGTTTATACATTAGTGACAACGAATTCAAAACTCTGCTTTCTTTTACCAGTTGTGAACGAATATTTTACCGTCCTGGATGGTAAAGGTCCATAAATCATACAAAACGTAAAGATTGCACCAGAATCAAAACAAGGAAATGTTATCTCTTACCGTCTCCACTTACATCTGAAAACATTTTACAACACGAAATACTCTGCTACTGAGGAGTCACCCGGGCTGGCAAATTACTTCACCAAATGTAACCCTTCCCTCCCTCCCCCCCCTACCCTCCCTGTATTTCGTTTGGCTTCCCCAACAGTTTGCCTGTACCCATTTATACTCCTAGGCCCAGTTGTTTGAAGGCCGAATTTAGCGCTAATCAAGGGTTAAATTTAATCCAGATTTCTTTATGACTTTGTTAAAAAGCCTTTTGAGGATAACTTTCTCTCTTACTTTTAGGGCATCCAATAATCAAAGTCTAAAAAGAAATAATAATGCTTAATTTTTTTGTTAAAGCCTTCGAATTTAAAATCAAATTTCACACTGACTCTGGGTTATCTGAACCCAACTTTGAACGGCCCGGACCTGGATGGAGAGAGGTGCATTGAGATTAGTGTGGCTTGCCCAAGAACACAACACAAAGACATAACCTCCTGGGCTTGAACCCTGAGCCGTCAATCCAGAGTTCAGCACACTGACCACAAGACCATCACCTCTTCCACAAGATTCAAAAGACACCACTGCACAGAATAAAAACAAACCTTTCTCTCTTCTTTTCCCTCACTGGATGATGTCCTTGCATCCTGGTTCTCAGCGTGTATTGCCTGTAGAAGCTGCAACACCAGGTAAACATGGTTAGAACCAAAATCAGAAAAAAAGGAAGGAATGTTGTCGGTAGTACTGACTGTCACTACTAGTCACAGCTACTACCGACCACAGTCCTTCTCCAGACTTCCTTAACCCGGACGATCAGACTACATTTTTAAATGTTACTCCACACTTCAAACTACTTACTGTCTGAAGGTATACAAAAAAAGAGCGATTTAATGAAAAGTAAGACAGTGCGTAGTTATACTTTGCCTAACATTGTTTTGGAAAATGCTTGATGATCATTGACAATAAAGGAATGTGATCATAGAGTAGTGTTCTATATTATCTACAGAAAAATCTTACCTCTTGCATTCGCGCATGATCCTGAAACAAAATAACAGAATCACTGTGTTACTAATAGTGAGACTACAAATTCCTCACAAACCACAGAAGGTCTGTGCAATTTGACAGCTGAGAGTTTCTTCTATCACATAAAGTAAATTACCAGTAGCTTTCAATTTTTTTTCAGAATGATGCAAAATGCTTAACATCACTAATCTCAAATTTAACCCTTTCACCCCCATGAGTGACCTTGAAGACAGAATTTCTCCTTACAATATCAATACAATACCAGGCAAACAAGTGATGAGAATAGAGAAAAATATCAATGAGGGACTAAAAGTTGATCCAATGCCAAATCTTCCAAGAAGAATCAAGTTTGGTAGAAATGGGAAAATGTAGTGCTGTACAGTAAATGAAGTGAACTTCAAATGCTGTCTCAGTAGTTATCCATAAAGAAATAGGGGAAGAGAAAGAGCAGGGAGGGGGCTTTGGCTGATAGGAAGGAATTCTTTTAAAAAAAAGGTTATTTACATGTATTCATAGGGAGTGCTAATTCAAGGATTCTACAGTAACTACTTTTTGTTGCCTACGATTACATCTTTACTTTGTGTACCTGCACATCCAGACTTGCTTCTTCATTGTCTTCCTCTTCATCTGCATCATCTTCAAAGTCATCATCATAATCCTTGACAAAGATCACCAATCTTATTATAATTTTAACCAAAAAAAAACTTTGAAAATAAAAATTCTTTGGAAAGCTATGCTCATTCAATATGTATTCTCTCCTGTTAATTATCAGAAACAGTTCACTGGAACCATTATGTATTCATATCAATGTCTCTTTCTGAAAATATGGTTCAGGTTCTCCTGATGTTATCTTAACCTGCTTTCATCAACAGATGTCTTACTTTTAAAGTTTGATTTTAGGAACTTTTGCAAAATTGTAAAATAAAGGTAATCAACAGTAGACGATATTTATCTGAATACTGATACTCAAATTAAAGTTATGGATCTGCTACAGAAGAACCTTGCTTACCTACTCTAACTTGATCAACATGAATTTTCCACATGTAGTGAAAACAGAGGTTCTAAATGTTACACAGCAATCTGTGTAACATCATAATTATAATCAACTTTGTAGTCCTTAATTTAATTCTTTGACTCTTGAGAGTGACTAGCATCTAATGTCTACAACATCACCCTTAAGTCAAACATCAAGCTCACAAGAATAAAGGAAATGATTAACAAATGATTAACTGTTTAACAAATTCTCCTTGACAGCACCTCAGGAAATGTCTTGAGAACAGTATGGAGAATATGCACGTTGATGCTAGTATGTAAAGGGTTCAACTGACTTTTGAACGTGTCTTTCAAAATCAGAAATGTTGTGCTTTTCTTAAAATTACATATCACCTCATACCTCAAATTCATCATCATCATAGTCATATCCACCATTTTCTTCCTCATGGACTTCCTCAACTGTACCACTGGAAGGCAATCTTTGCGAAGATGTCTTTCGTTGCTGTTCAACATCTTCATCTATGGTATCCTTGAGAGAGGGAAAATAAGCATCAAGACTTTAAGTTACTAAAACAATAATATCAATATTCAAACATTTTAACTTATTCAGCATTAATAAGCTATGTTTACAGTCATTTGCAATTATTTACAGTCATTTGCAATACTGTCTGCTGTTCAACCATTATGTTCCTGCACTAATATTTTGGTGGCATGCAAAAGTGACATGACAATGTGCCAACAAGATTACTAAGCATTGCATGTACATGCACATGTTGAAAAAACTGATTAGCTGAAGCCCTTAACTGAGCAAAAATGCAAAGTAGAAAAATATTCCCAACTTTACAATGGTGGTACTCTTTGAATATCATAAATTCCCAATGCCTTCTGTGATCTTTCAAAGACCTCTTTGATGTTTTCCATCAACTTCAAAAGAAAAATCAGTTTCAAAAGAATTTGAAAATGAAGGGGGAAACCATTTCTCTGTTTGTTCTCAAAAACAATGAGTTACAAATGGAAACAAGTTAGTAGAAATCAACTCTACAGTTGCTAACTCACTGCCTCTTCCATGGTATCTGATCTAAACTTCAAAGGATTCCTCTTCAGTTCCTGTTGATGAAAGAGAAACATTAAGGTGAGGGGGTGGGGGGGTGTGGAAAGAAGAGGGGTCAGGAGGTAAAAATTGCTTGCTTTTATAACCCTCATCAGATCCCAAATCCAGCACCATTTAATCCCACTTCTCTCCATTACAGAGCACTGCTCGATGAATAATTGCAATTGTGTGTGAACTTCTAAGTTTCTCACCCTTTCTACCCTAGGTAATAAAGTTTCCACTTCCCATCCTTTTGTTCCACAACTCTGAGCCTCATTGTCCCCTTATTCCATTTTAAGTGAGAAAAAATAGTCATTCTGCATCATTGAAAAAAAAGGAAACTCTCAGAGAAACAAAAAAAAAATAGGATTTTTGTTGAGTTTGTGATCTTTTAGCTAAAGAAATGGCCTCCCTGTAAAGGTGTTCGGTTGATTTCTTTAGTTGGTGAGAAAATACATGCATTATGAAACTTAACCCTTTAACTCCCATTAGTGACCAAGACAGAATTTCTCCTTACATTATCAATACAATATCAACCAGATAAGTGATGAGAATAAAGAAAAATATCAATTGGGGATAATCAGTTGATCCAATACTAAATTCTCTAAGCTAACATTACAAGAATTGTATAGTTGACAGTAAGGAGAATTACAAATTAGATCTGGGAGCTAAAGGGTTAACAAAAATACCTCTTCCTTTTTTAATGCTTCAATCATTTCTTTTTCTCTTCTCTTAATTTTGTCCTCTTTTTCTCTACTACTAGATTCCTAAGAAAATAAGAGTCAAAAAAGCATTTTAGAAAGGTTGAATATTACTAATTTGCTGTTAAATAGAGGGAACAAGGAACCAATTTGCTTAATATTCAACGAAAAAACAAATAAAAGTAATGATTTCCTCCAAAGTTCCCAAGGGCTTCATAGACTACTTATTCACTCACCTCATTCTTTGACCGATCTTTTCTTCTATCAAGATCTCTGCTTTCCTTTTCCCGTCTATCACTTCTCTTCCTTTCATCCTTATCAGAATCTCTATTTTCTTTATCCAGCCTGTCTCTTTCCTTTTCTTTTCGTCGTTCCCTGTCTTTTTCCCGATCTTTGACATCTCCCCTCCTCTCTCTGCTTCTATCCCTATCTCTGCTTCTTTCTGTTCTATCCACTTCACCCCTCCCTTCCTTTTGCTTTTCTCTTCTTCGATCCCTCTCTTTATCCTCATAACTTCTCTCTTTCGTCCTTTCCCGACTTCTGTCACGTTCACCATGTCGTTCCCTGCTGTCACGTTTCCTCTCTTCATCTTTAGTCTTCTCAAATGCTGTATCTCTTTCTCTTCTTCTTTCCCTATCATGATCTCTATCAACGTTTTCCTTTTCTTTTCGCATCTCCCTACTTCTGTCATGTTCTTTAGATCTCCTATCTTTTGACCTATCAGCATGTCCACCTCTTTCCTCAGTTCGTCTTTCTCCACCTTTCAACCTGTCTTTATCTTTGTCATAATCTTCTCCTTTGTCCCTTGGTCTTTCTTTATCCCTGCCCTCGTCTCTTTTTCTCCTTTCTCTATCCCCTTCTCTTTCCCGATCCCTGTCTTTGGTGCGATCTCTTTCTTTTTCACGCTCCCTGTCCCTCTCCCGACCCCTGTCTTTTTCTCTGTCTTTATCTCTGTCCCTTTCCTTGTCTCTTTCTCGTTCTTTGCCTCTATCTCGTTCTTTGCCTCTATCATGACCTCTCTCTTTTTCTCGGTCTTTGTCTCTTCCTCTGTCTCTATCCCTGTCCCTATCTGTTTTCCTGTGGTCCCCATTGGCTAGCTCATCATGACCTCTTCGCTTCCTATCATCATCCTTATCCTATCAAGGAAGCAATGTTGTTTCAATATCAGCTTACAATATACCAAGGCTAGCTCATCATGACCTCTTTGCTTCCTATAGTCATCCTAATCTTATCAAGTTTCAATACCAAATTACAACATACTGTACATGTACCAAACTATCTCATAACAAGATCTGGTATCAATGATGTATTTAATCAAATAAGTACTTGAAACTTCAATATTCATTTATCACACAATAAAATCAGTTGAGACTATATCATACTACAATCTTGAGCTATTTAAAAGTTGCCAACTAAAGGTTGAGACCAATTTACATGGCGTCCCAGCTAAGATAGACCTCTGTGTTGGGATTACAAAGTGAAAGATTTTAATTCTGTCAAATATTTTCAGGCTTCAATTTGTATTTTACTTTTTCCAGATAGGTGTTCAATATAAAAGAGTCACCATGTTTTACCTCCAAATTTCACTGACAAAAATTACATTTACATGAATAATGTACCTTTCGCTCCCTTTTGTCCTCAGACCTACGACTTGAGGAGCTCTCTTTGGATTTTCTGCTTTCATCTTTGGACTTTCCTCTGTCATCCTAAATAATGAAATCATTTTTTAAAAATCATAGAACATAGGAAACTTTTAAAAATTAAAAGGATGTTTACAAAATATACCAACTTTTAACCCATCTTATTTCGAATATAACTGATAACTGGCCCTGAAATCAAAACTTGATCGATAATTGGAGCTCAGTTCACATGGAGATACATGTATGTACTGTGTATGTTTGAATAACTTCTTTATTCCACCAAAATTAACATTATCAAACTTTGATGCCCTGTGAAGTCTTCCTTCTGTAGAATTGTGTTCTCCAGAAAATTATAATTTCAAAGGATACCATGGCAATGATGGTTAAAGATTTCAGATCCCCCAGAGTTGAAATTTTGTTATGTGTAAAATTGATATAATTGATCACTATGAAAAGGAGTCAATTTAAAAGCCTAGTCACTAATACTCCTGGAGGTCATCCATGTTTGTACAACATTATTGGCATTTTGTTATGCCATTATTTGGCATATTGGCAAATTGGCATTTTTCTTTATTCTCATCACTTACGTGGTTGATATTATAAGGATATTCTGTCTTGGTCACTCATGGGAGTTAAAAGGTTAAGTGTCTACCCAAGCACAAAGCATTTCTAACCCAGCACCTTCTAAAATCCCAAACCTAGACCTCTTAACCCAGAGTCCAGTAAATAACTATGACAGGGCCCAGTTGTTCAAAGGGCAGTCAACCCTATCCAACAGATAAATCACAATCCAGTGAATAAGTATTCGCAAAACATACTTCCCTATCCACTGAAGAGATATTTATCTAGTGGATAGGGTTTATCCACCTCTTGAATATGTGGAACCAGTCCATTAAGTATGAAAATAAGTGACTATCCATTCCAAATGTTAAGGGTTTTCAATTGTTGCATACTATTCATTCAAAATACTAAAACAAAAACCATAAATACATTCCTGACCTTCAAGGCTTTCTTTAAATCTGATTCTTTCCATGTATCTTCTTTGCTACGATCCTGCAAGATAAGACTCACACCGTTAGACTAGATTTGGACTCCTTTGCATTTAATCCAAAATCTGACAATCTGAAAAATTCAGCAGAACAACTTAATTCTTACTTCACTTACCTTATCAAAGATCACATAGGGGAAATTACATCAGTATTGCAGGGTTTAAATTTTACATCATTAAATAGCATATAGATTACTCAAAGGTATTAATTAGAATTCTTTCAATAGCCTTGCTTAGAACTTCCTTCTCTCCAAAAAAAATACATCTAAGATGTTTAGGGTGTATATCTTGAGGTAATTGCAGATATTTAAAGATGTAAAGTTTCACAGACCTGCAGACAACATCATGCTTCAAATCTTTCAAACCCAAATACGTAGAAATTAAAGTTTACTTTACTTATTTTGTTGAATTTAAGGAGATGAACAAACTGTATAATTAATTTTAAAAAATTAATCGTTCACAAAATTATATTTTATAGAATGAGAATTTCTAAATGTGAAAGCCTGAAGCTTTGGTAATAGAGCAGCAAAACTGAATCTGCTCCGTGACCAAAAAATTGTTTAGCTCTTAAATCCCCAAAATGTATGAACAGCTTGGATAATTTTTTTTGAAAAAGATCGCAAGGGCTCTAGAATACGCTAAGACTTGGAAAAAGAGAAAGAGGTTAGTTCACGGTCCTATACGGAAACGGTATATGGCTAGGGAAATAATCATCTCGACAGACCATATCTTCAGGTTTGATCGAGGGAAAGCATTACCCGGCTTTAGTTAAGCTTGATATGACAACTGGAAAATAAATAATATTGCAACTCTGTTTAAATCGTAGCAACGAATACAGGCAAACTGTGCAGAAACTATGAGAATTATTACCTTCCCCGATGGCATTCTTTGATCATCTCTGGCTGTCTTGACACAAAAATCGAAGAACCCCCTTGAAACGATGAAAACGTCAGTCGAAATTTGCTATTCAGACTCCATAGTTACTAAGTACACTTTCCACCATTACTGTTTTAGAAAGTTATATCCGGGACATTGAAAGAGAGAACTCATGTCCAGGTTTTTTCGGTGTTTTCCCGGGAAATTTGACTTTGCAGCAATTTCTTCGAGTTACGGGTAATCAGGCATAAGGTATCTTGAGGTATTTTCGAATCGCGGGTGAAAAATATCTCAATGTGAGATGTTTGTTATTAAATGTTTATTATTCATTAAAATCATTCAGGGTCTAGAGGTGTATCAAGGGGAAGTAGTCGGGTATCCTACGATCTGCCTACCCTCCCCCCCCCCTCGCTTATTGAGGACTGATCTTCGCACCCATCCGGATTAGCCAGCGAAAAGATTCGATTCAAGCGACTTCCTTGATAGATATAAAATCAAAAACAATGATTATACGCGAGGGAAGCATCGAGGGATTGCCCATTTGGGCAGTGTGGACTGTACGCCCTTAAATATTGTACTAATAAAAGTAGTATTATGTTACTAGCATTGCCCCTTTTTTTTCCAAATTACGCTCAAAATTATGCTCGTTTTTGAAAAGCATGCTACTCTTCTTGTTGAGGAGGGAATCCAACTAGGAGATAAAATAATTAACGATTATGCCTTTTGCTCCAACTCACTTCTCTCCGCGCGTTTCACTGGCAACTATGAGCTTTCATGTTTTCAGTGCTATCCGTGAACTGAACTTCGTTGAAGTTCAAAAAATCACCATAATGTTTTTTTTCTACATGGAAAATCTGCCAGACCTTCGCTCCACTGACAAGCTGTTCCTTGAGATGTCTTTCAACCCCCTCCCCCGACCTCCACCCCCCTTATTTCAAGGGGGTTGGAAAGAGGCGCATTGCTAGATTCCGGTGAACGCCAGGGGAAATCTTAAGTCGACCTCGTCCTCAGGCCCTTCGGTTCTAAGAAATCCCAAACTGCATTGGTTCTTTTAAGGGAATTGTGGGAAATACTAAATTAAACATCTAAAGCCTCGTTTTGAGTCAGAATTATGATGAAGTTACATCATTTACATACGTGATACCGGAAAGCCTATTTAGTGGAACTATTGTAAAACCTATTATATCGGTTACACGGAAGAGATAAAGACATGAACATGCCAAGACCCATGGAATGCGTAACTCCTTCAAAACACTGGGTTTACTGCAAGAATACGGAAAACGAAAGCTTTAGATCAATAGTTTGAGTCTATCTCTGCTGTCTACTTTATTTTCCCTGTTTATGTAAAATATTAAAAACCATGGATGTGATGTTTTATTTATAGCCGTTAGTCATTTGCGAAAAAACTTGAATTCTGTGGAGTGAAAGGTGTTTCTCAGTTCATTCTGGAAGAGAATTTTCAATTCAACGGATCGAAAGTTTGTTGACCCAAGGTTTTATTTCAAAAAGTAAACGAACCCTACGCATTTGTCAAAAGTTTCGGGCTGGTGGTTTTGCTTTGTGTTACCAGTCAAAACCTGTTCGCTTTGCTTTGTTTCCACTATTTTGACCTTCTTGGTAGATCACCGCCACGTAATCTATAATCTTCCCCTTACAATATCCTGCTTTATACTTAAATTAGCTGAAATTCCATACAAGAAGTCTACGATTGATAAGAACTTCTACAACATCCCATCAGCGGCGAAAAATGTGGACAGCATTAGGGTTGGTTTCTCGTACTTGGTTTCAACGCTTCTAAGTTACGTTCCACTACCTAGTGTAGTTTACAAATAAGCTTGATAAAGCACTAAGTAAACTGATCATTTCTCTTGTAGTTTGTACGCTTTTGGGCCAAGTTACAAAGATCTTAGGGAATATAAAAAATTACAAAGGTAAGTTGGATGTGTTATGTACAGAGAGGAATGGATTATTTGAAAAAAGATCATGTGATTTACGCATGAGGAGTTCTTAGCTCTCGCCAATTACGATTCCATTGACGGTCTGGCTAAGTTGAAACTTATTTCAGTTTAAGGCAATGTCCATCCACTTTAACAAAAGTGTAGAATTTAAACAAATTGTTGTCAGGTTTGCCAACAATGTTCGCCAGATGATTATGAACACAGCATATCGTGTTATTTACCGGTTCAAGTAGATTTGCTTCTTCATGAGAAAGCGTTAAATTAACCTTTACGGCTAATCTGAAATTTTAACCTATCAGGTTTTCTTTCTCAAAAAATAAAGCGTACTTCTAATTAGAATGGATTTAAAACTAGTCTCTCCAGTCTTAAAATTAATGCTTTATACTCGATGAAAAGGTAAAAAATTGTGTTTGCAAAAGAGTTACCGAAACAGTAAATTAGTTAGAAACTCTTTATGGTGGCCAATTTACATTACCAACTCAGTTGATAAAGACCAGCTTATCCAAAAAATTTATTATAACGGAAAAAAACGTGTACTTTTTCGCAGATATGGTTCTTCACTCCATTTTAGCGAAACATCATGGTCATGAGTAATCTTAAGTAATCTCAGCGTAAGGTACGTTGCTGAGTTGACCCACTCTTCGGTACCAATCGTATGATCCTCGGATTTTCCTCGGAAATGAAACTGAATTTGTTTCCGGCTTTTGCGCTGCTTCTGAACAGTGATCAAATTTTGATATCTTAGTGAAAGTGATAGTTATAAAATACCTTTTCCGGTTATTTGTAAAAAAGCTTGTTGTTTGGATTAATGGAGGCTAAACATCGTACACTATTTAACTAGAGCCGTATTTAACAGACTTTTCTAAACTGGCGCTAACGATCGTCAAAATTTATTCAACTCATGTGAATCGATATATTGCAAATAGACATAAATCCAGACAGAGAATATTGCGTTTTCGATATTTTCGGAATATTTTTTTTTCCCTTTTTTTTCAACCATAACCCAAGATAGTCAAAGGTCGCGCCAAAACCTGCCCGTGATGCATGCTTTTTCTACGTAGTTTCGACGCTAATTTTAGGAATGAGAGATGCAGTTGGGAGGTTGGAGTTAACCGCAACGTGAAGAAGGTTGTGTTTTCAATTTGCACGATTCCTACGACGACGGCAGTTCAACGGTACTAAACCAAAGTACTTCGAAGAAAAACATATTCGTAACTGCGCTATATTGGTTGGTCGCAAACAATTCATACTTTTTCCCATACTTTCAAGGCTTTGTCACTTATTTTATACACTGGAGAGTTAACAACAGTAATTTACATATTCAATGTGCCAGTTAGCAGCACCTGCTAAAGTTTGTATACCGGTCGAGTGGTGCACCGAATACGTAAATTCACCGTCACTAACACAACGGCTACCAAACGGTACAAGTTTTACATTTCTACCAACAAAGAAATAAGTAAGGTATTGATTTATTTTACAGCCTTTTTGTGTTGGGTAATTTTTTCGTCGGTAAAGTATCAATCATCGGAAAAAATGAAACGTAATGCGGGTAACTGAGCAACTTTGAAATCGCAAGAATTACAAATCATCTTTGTTTAGACATTGAACACTGAACACTGAACACAGAATACTGAACGTCCCTTTAAGCTAAACTCAAAATTTCGTTGAAATACCGGTAACTCTTCCTTTAGCAAATGAACTTTCAACTGTAAATAGTGGAAGGATATTGTTATTAGTACGGATCTTAATCACAGAGCATTCAGCTTTATCATTATTCAAAACCTGTCGCGGTCTGAAAACCTCACATTGCACATATGACTGATATGAAATACTACTCCTGGGATTAACTAGCGGCTGGTAATTTGATAATTGGAAGACATTTGTTGCTTGTTTTTCGCCTCTTAACATATCCAAAAAGTCTACTAATAACTACGTTAAATTTCAGTAAAATTACACTCGCTGTACATACTCTATATCATAAAATGTACATTCATGTGTTACATCGGCTGCGTATGAGCATGTACTTTCAGTTCGAGGAAATTTTAACCGCTGCTGCGTATTGATATTTCTACTTATTCACTGCAAGGTTCAAAATTGTAATTTCTGTTTCTCGAGAAGGAATATTTTTTATCAATGTGCCATTTTGCAATTTTTCATATATTTATGCAGACTTTTTCAATGCTTCAAACATTTGGGAATAGATTAAGGACAGTCTCCTAAGATCGTAGTTTAATTTCGGTACAACTGGTTTCCAGTGGCTGTCCGCATCGCTTTCAAATGCAAAATCCCCGACGGAAACTGAAGCCAACAACATAGAGGTCAGCCGCACACCTTCACTAAAGAAGCACAAATCATAAGCAGGGTTGTAACTTCTCTTCCTATCCTGTATATCCTTTCAAAGTAAAGTTACAACCACGAATCCACTGCCTCGTGTCATCAATGCTGAAATTTTCACAGCATATTCAGTATATGAGGAAAGCAAAGAAGGATTTTGGTACTCCTAAATCTTGTTGTTTTCTCTTTTTACCCAGATACCGAAAAACGAAAGGCGATAGAGCAGTTCTTATTCCAGAGGAAGCATTTGCTGTCGATGAAGAATACCTTCCTTATCTTGATGAGGTCAGAATCCAAGAGCAACCTCAGAACCTTCAAGATGGCTCTTCTGTTTCGTATGAATCAGAAGGTATCAAGTTTAAGTATTCCATGGGAGGAAATATCAAGTTCTACGATGACCACATCGCTCTAACAAGTCCAAGAAAAAAGGTGAAAAGTGGCAAGTATTCTTACCAAATTCTGAACGATACTATGGAAAGTTCTTTGAACGACTCGCCAGCGCGGAGCGCGCTATCCGCAAATTTTGGCACCATGGATATGACACCGAGGATTTTGAGTACACCGGTGAAAAGCACCTTAGAATTTGACGAGAAAAATTCTCAGGGTAGGACAGAGACAGCGTTTAAAAGTAAGCCGGAAAATGGAAACATCAATTCTAACTTGCAACTTCACGCGGTGTTGGAACGATTAAGGGTGGCAGATGATGAAACAACTCAGCTGTCTAAAAGTAACCCAACATCTTCGAGTATTGCCGATAGTATAGCAAAGGTTGACTCATGGAAAACGGATTTTAACAATTGTAACAGTCCTTCGCATAACGTCGAAGAGATGATTTCGGGGGAGACTGTCTTTCGGCAGGAAAACTCGTCGTCTGGAAATGGCGCGAGGGTACGAGATTACTCTCCTATTCGGACCACACCAGCAAACGAAAATCTGGCAAAATTAAAAGATGAGGTAACACCAAATACTGAGGCCAGAATTGAAAATTACCCAACTAGGACGTCTGAGGAGAAGATTATTTGCGAACCAGAAGTTACGGAGGTTAACGTGAGCTCAAGAAATGAAACTGGAAATAAGAATTTTGACGCGAAAAGAGGAGAAATGCAGGATCCTGAAAGAATGAACCGATATAATCGGACATTACTCTATGTTAATGAGCAAAATGAGACATTGCATAATGGAGACTACAACGAATTAAACATTGATATGTCAGATTTGAGTTCAGACGTGTTTACAGACAGCGAAATACCCACATCCGGGTTCTTATCGCAATCACGTGATGGAAAGAGTGACTTGGATTTTTACCCAGACTCCCCGACAACAGAACAAGCTTTCTCAAAGACTCCTTGTAGCTCCAGAAAAAACAGCTTGGATTCATACATAACTGACGACAGCATGTCCGCAACCGAAATGAACCAAAGAATGGGAGTGAAGAAAAGTAAGCTAAATCTAATGAAAAATAAGGGATAAGATAAGTGCCAAAAAATCCTTCAAAACAATCGAAACTCGCATAATGGTAACTGTACACTAGCGAAACTGATATTTGTATATTTGACCGTGCAATAATTGTTGTCTCAATCGATCAGTGTTTTCCAAATAAACTGGCTCTTCCTCGAATATCTTAATGAACATGAGAGAATGCCAGAATAAGTTAATCAAATAATTATATTGTGATTCTCTCTAGTACGATTTCGACCAGATTACGTGGCCTCCAAAACAATTGAGATAGAAAAAAAAACAAATACAGGCTGCATCGCCTAATGAGAGAATGAAAAGGGAAACGCCGAGTATCAATCTTTTTTTGTTCACAGATATGCATCAGTCGGTTTCAAATGGTGAAGTACATTCAAATTCATTCATAAAACAAAACGGCAGAGCAAAACAGGTAAGGAATTTTTTCTTTTTTTCATGCAGGTAATATTCAAACAACTTAATGGCAATTTTTCTACCAACCAAAGTAATCCTGCATTGCCTTCAAAGCTGCATTAAAAAAGGTTCTATCACCTGGTTGGTTGTATTTAACAAACACAAGGCGTCGCCTGCTTAAAACAGATTACCAACTAATGCTAATACTTGTTGCCAAGAAATTACAAAGAGAGAGAAACCCTAGTTCTCTGCTTATTTCGATGCCAGTTCTTCGTTGTCTTTTATACTCGATATTACACTCGCTGCTGCCTCAATTATCGATCTTTCTTGGCTGGTGTTGCCTTGTTTGGTTTTCCTCAATTTTTTTTTTTTAATATTATTAGTCTGAGATAAGTTCTCCTACCCCGGCCTCTTTTTTCCAATCGTTAGAAGATATAAATAACTGTAAGTATGTCAAAAAAAACCACTCACGTTGTGCTTACCCAATATTTTTAATTGACCCACCTGAGTCAAAATCACAGGTGGATCTACTGAAACGCTTTGGAATAAACTTAAGAGTCTTATGTGGTGCCATTCAGTTATTCTTTGTTACTACTGTTCATTAACTTCTTTTCGTGCGCAATATTTTCCAGCAACAAGGTGTAAGTATTAAAGCATCGGACGCGAAATCCCAACAACTGAAATCTAAACAAGGTGAGCATTTAGCTAGGAAATACTTGTCATGATTTCAATTTATCTATTCATTCATTTATTTATTTTATCTGTTATTTTCAATTTGTTCGCAATCTCTCTCAGGAGCGAAGACAATCGAATCGAAGAAAATGGATTTTAACAAGAAAGCGAAGTCTAAAGTAAATTCGTTCAGCAATATTGGACACGTACCGGGAGGGGGGCGAGTGAAGGTAATTGTTGGGTCTCAAAGGAATTAACTATTAGCCGTACAACGGTAAAATTAGCCATAAGGTATAAAAGTTGACAAATTTTAACCGTTAGTCATAAAACGGCCAAAATTTGAACCATATGCCGTCAAGAGACGTCACCCCATTGTGACCTAATCAGTACAAAGATGAAAAAAGAGTTCAACTCTGTTTAAGCCCATCTTTCAAAATTAAGCTCGTTCTGATCAATAGTTCAATCATGTTATTAGGAGAATTCAATCTCGATATTCTTTAAAGAAACAGGTTGTAATTCTGAACAAAAATGAACTCCTCTTCGCCGGATAAACACCCCTTTCCATTTTTTTTTTTTTGCCATGTCTGTATTCTGGTTTGTGCCGTTTTCCATACAGAACATCTTTCGCGTAAATTGAATCAGACTCAAAGTTGTGCGCCTTTCGGCAATAGCTCTCGCCATATTTCTGTTTACTTTGGGTGGGAAACGATATATAATTAGTTTCTGTTTCTTGAATCGCGTGCAACTTTCTTTACGAGAAGCCATATGTCATAAATCAACTTATTTACCCGACTAACATCTTTTCTTTCCTCTTATTTTAGATTCAGCAAAGTAAATTGGGTCAGCGGCTTAAACGGGTAGAACCCAGAACGGACACCCATGGGGTTGAGGCATACAGTAACTTACCCTCCGAATTTCAAGAAATTGCTAAACGCCTCGCTAAACAGGATAAACAGCTTCGAAATTCTAAAATTGTCGGCAACAGTTCAAATGGCAGAAGCCGACCTCGCTCGCGAAGATCGAGCCGCGGCTCCAGTCGAGCAGGAAGCGTTAGTCCCGATCGAAGATCAACTTCCAAACCAAACTTCAGGTTGGGAAATCTTTCAGGTTCGTCGTTCAATCTCAACACTTCTACCACAAGCCTTGGGCATAGCTCACCAAACAAAGCTTCCAGACGACCCGTAGTAAACAGGTCACCCAGCATTCGATCCAGGCCAACAACACCAAGTTTGAGTCGGTCACATCCAGCTACTTATGTCACACCGTACGATTCCCGGTCACGGCCTTCTTCCAGACCTTCCTCCCGTCCGAACTCACGCCCAACGTCCCCCGTTTCGAGGTCAAGAAACGCGTCACCTACGAGTGGTGGGCGCTCACGAGGATCGTCGCCCGTTCCGACCAGTCGAAAATCATCGACGCTAAGCCGAAACTCACCGAGCGTTAAGCGGTCAAAGAAAAAGATGGCAAACGGAATGGGGGGAAGATCTATGAATCTGAACGCGCTGACAAGCGTGGAAATCGGCCTTGGTGAGTATTGGTATCAGGCGAAGATAACTGGATCCATGTTGTCGCCGAAACGTGATCCAAATCATACACTAACCTGAAAGAAAAAGGGACATGTTTTCATGATAAACGTGTCTAACACTTTCTGTTTTTGTTTCTTTTTATTTCTCCAGCATCTGGATCAGTATTTCAAGTGATTCCAGTTCATAAGTAACGCAGAACATTGAGAGAAGCTTAGTTTGCATCACCATATACAATTGTCATTGACTTCTCCAAAGCATCTCGTGAAGCCATCGCAAACAGCTGAATGTGTTATATAAACTGCACAGTCACAGAACGGTTTCTATTGTTGTCTTTAATAGCTGCTGGTCAGCTACAAATTATATCCTGAGCTGAGCAGGTCATGTCGTTCGTTTTTGACGTTATCTGTATTGGGTTTGATTTGCCACAGCCGATGTTTGTTTAGCTTCCTATGGAAAAGCAAAGAGAGGAATTTGAAATAATGAAAATATATCTATATGATAGGGAAAATAAAAGTGACAACGTAAATAGCACGCAGTAAGGAATATGTCACATGGCAGAGACAGGTTGCTTGGCATTTGACACCATCCTCATCCTCAAATGAGCTTGGTGACCGCTCATATAATCTGTCCTCAGTATTAGTGCACTTTGCCGATCAGATTATGAGTGTAATAAACATATTCTTTTAAGAGGTAACATAAACTTCGGAAGCCCCGACAACAATAGGAGAAATAATCTTGAAAACGTAACGATCGGCAGCGGCAAAAATGCTTGACTGCATCTTTGGGTATACGCTTAAGAATGCAGTTATCACGCTAAAAAACAAACGAAAAGCTCCTACTACTCTCAAATTTATCGAGTTTCCAGAGATAACGTTAAAGCTTGTTTTCAATAGACAATTTTTCCAAATCAGTATGGATGTTAGGCCCAAGATAATTAATCTAAGGAATTAGGAAAAATGGCGATTATGAATTAGTAGCGGTTGATTGAAATCAAACTATTTCATTATTAATTGTTTCGTTATACCTCTCTTTGGTGCTAAATTTTGTATCTAAACAAGAGTAATGCTTAGGCATGGTCGTGTACGTGTTTAAAATGGAGTGATTTTGTAAGAAAATGGGATGAATTTTCATCAATTCAAATAAACAAGATACCACTTTAAGACATTTAAGTTGGTTTCATAAATTAAATTGCTTTTGCAGCCAGTTGTATTCAGCGGTCATTATACGAATTGCAACAGTAAATAATCCACTCGTTGCATAAAGGGGGTAAGTTTCTAAAGAAACTGTGGTGCTGCGTTGGTGGGAAAGTATAGCAGGTAATTAAGTGTTAACAACTGAGTTGAAAACGTAAATTGGCATCGTAAAGGGTAAAAAAGCTCACGTTTCGAGTGTTAGCCCTTCGTCTGAGCGATTGAAGGGCTAACACTCGAAACGTCAGCTTTTTTATCCTTTATGGTGGCCAATTTACGTTTTCAACTCAGTTGTCAACACTAGTTGTATAGTTTGGGGAGATGACGAGCGAATTGCATTTAATTTGAACCCGGGGGTGGCATTTGATCGTGTAATCTGTTCTTCCAGGTGAGTGTAGTCCTGAACTGTTATAGGTAATAGTGACTGACGTTTCGACAACCTGAGCGGAAGTCATCATCAGAGTCAAGTACGAGTTGCTGCCAGTCGAGTATTTTATGTCCTGATCGTGTAAACTAACTGGTCAGTTTATCCGTGTTGTTATCACTGATTATGGATTTGATTATGTCACCCATTATTGAAGCACCGAGATCTGTTAATTGAACGGACACTGACCGGGTCTGACCAACGTGCCATTGTCAAAAAGTCTTGAAACAGACACTTCTGTTAACCCTCTATATCCTAACACCAGTATACATATTTCCCACACTTTTCTCTATAAATTTCCTTGTTATTAGTAAAGAGAGTGTTTTTGATAGGAAAGTTGGCGAATTTTCAGGAAAACCTGACGAACTTCTGCGAACTAATATCGCAACTAAACCTCTCGAGCAACAGGAGCTGAGACAAGTTCTTGAAGCAGCGCAATCTGGTCTCTTAAACGGGATAACCCAGAATCTTTGAAAGAAAATATATCTTTTTCTGTAACTAGAAGCTTTTGAAAGCTTCATCAACTTTATTTATTTTCCAGCAATATTTGGTACATAATGTACGTGGTTTATTTAAATTTCGAATTTGTCAATAAATTAAAAGCTCTCTCATATTAATACAAACTAATTTGTTTGCTCTCACTGGTAAGAATAAGTTCATTAGTTTGGCTGTAAAAACAGATCCTGATTGAGCAAATTTTGTCTTCGGGCTCTCTCGATGGCTGACATTAACATGCTTTGACACCTGACTTGGGAGAAGTCCATCTGATCATATGGCTGAAAATAGCAAAACAAAGAAAAGCAAAATTAGCTTTATCTTCCAGCTTTGGTGCTTTGCATTTCTGAGAAGTCTTTTAGTTTGGTTGTTCCAAGACAGTTAGCGCTAATGAAGGAAAGCTTACACCATTTAACAAGTGGATGCCATATTGCTCTACGGCTGTTCAGTAATTCACCTTTTCGGCCTCAGATTTCACGTGTAGTGTCACGTGACTTCTGATGTAAACAAACCGCCAAACTTCGGACATTGAGTCAACTACCCACTACCTGTGTCCGATTTCGGCTTTGAAATTTTGTCGTAAACAATTTCCCTCCCCCGTTGTTTATTTTGCGCGTCCTCATGATCTCACTTGGTTAAATGACATAGCAGTGGAATAATAAATGCATAATATTTCCATTGATCGTCATGAGTCTACATCGATGATTAACTTACCGTAAGTACCATGTGCAACTTATGGAGAATCAGCAGCAACATGGCCACTCCAAAGAAATGCAGATCTCCTAACCCTGAACCTGAGGGTGAAAGAGACACAAGGAATGTTAAGATTTATGGACGATTTTGACTTCCCATTTGACGAATAATTGTTTAATCAAAGGATCGTGTACGCACCAATCAAATGCCTCCAGCAGGCAAATAGCTGGGAGGTAAGTGACATGCGCAGTGAAGACCATGTACAATTAAGCAGCTGGCTTGTCCAATGAGAGAGAATAGACAGCGCCGTGGAAACTAGAAAAAAACAAAAAACAGCGGAATAAACGCAAGGCATGGTAGAAATCGGAAAATTAAATTTAAGGAAAAATCTGTAAGTTCATAAATTATTTCAGCTTATCCACTTTGCGACCTGCCATGGATTATGGGAACGTGACCTCTGGGAATGAGATTCCCTTCTGTTTCAAAACAACAACGAGGATCATTGAAAACTGTCGTAAGATAGAACTACTGTATTTATAAATTGTGTTTTGGCGTTCTACTTTTCATATCTAATATCATGAACTCACGAAAGCTTGATAACAATGAGATCCTTTTCTAAACTAAAACAGAGCCATGGAGACAGCCTCAACCTTAGGTGTAGATAAAAATTTGTCAGAATATGTGTTAACACGAGGAATTGTGATCTTATCTTAACGAAATAGTATCTGATAGATTGTCTTGCCTTGCGTAGGACTAACTAAGAGAACAGAACACAAAAATTGTATCTGATGGACTGCCTTGCCTAGCGTAGGACTAGCTAAAAGGAACAGAATAATAAAATTGTTCTTGCTAGTGTAGATCAGTGCAAGTCATCTCAATAAAACAGTTGAAAGAAGATTTGGAAACGGAGAGAGTCACCTGAAGGTGTATTACAACCCGGAACTCCTACGAAGGGGTGGAGTGCCAGGGACAACCTAGGTCGTGCAAAAAGTGCGGGAAATATAAAGTACTTTTTATTGGAGCGAACATATGGAACTTTGAGATCATTTTGGTTTTATAAACTGAGTTAAAGATTGGCCACCGTCAAGATCGGCAGCCCTTCCGCTCTGGCGAAGGGTTAACGCTCGAAACGTCAGCTTTGAAACTCTTTACGATGGCCAATTTACATTAACAACTCAGCTGATAAAACCAAAATTATCTTGTTACGTTCCTCCACCAAAGTAGCACCACAGTTTCTTTCGAAACTTCCCCCCTTTATTCATATGGAATTCTAATGCTGTTAAAACTTGTTGAAACAACATTTCTTACGTTTTTGAGCACAAAGCAGGGGCGTGGCTCGTATAAAGTATCGTATACCCCACTGTACATTTAACAGAAACTTCCGCAGGGGGGTGGGTTCATTTTCCTCTATCAGCTCTGCCATGACACCAGCCAACCTAGGGAGAATAAACGCGACGATTAAACTCGCAGCGATGCAATTTAAGTCGTGTAATCTGTATTCAATTGTATTGACCTGACTTTGTGTTGGGCACTGAATTTTGTTTCAAGAGCTGTGGGTCCAGTACCGCTGTTACAGACGTTTTGACATCGGTCAGATAAATTTATTTTGCATCCAAAAAGGTAACATCGGGATGCGTACTATTCTACAAAGCTCTATTTTGACTCCAGTAGAATTAAGTAATGAGCAGCATTACTCTCCGACAGAAGCAAAACAATATTAAACGTTTTAAGCGATTCGTTGTCCTCACCTTCCTGCAAACTCCACCCCAAGTCTGGGATCCTTACTGTTGTTAAAGCCTTGCACCAACAGTCGCGCAAAAACGCGTCCCTGTCTGAAGTTCGGGGGAAAAAATAAGAAAATATGACCTGGTAAAGGTCTTATTCACATAAGCTTTCCATGAAATTCATCATCGATAAAAAAGGATCAATAAACGTCTTCTAGGTATTGAAAAGCCCTTCAAACAAACACTTTTTTTCCGATCGATGGTAGCGAATCTTATGAAGATGTTCCTAACTTACTTAAAGACGGACTTAGAACCCGTGAGATGTCTACGGAAGGAACCAGTCAATATTTATCGCCTTTGGGAGGGGGTCAGATGATTATGATTGTGTCACAATAAAATGGTCAAACATTTACCTGTATTCCCTATAAGGCTCTGCAGTATTTAAATTCCCCCCCCCCCCCCCCATTGGCAGTCAATTTTCTATGCCCCCCTTAAAACTCTGTTAGCGACAACTGATCCCCCTCCATTTCCCCCCTGAATACTATATGATCCCTCAAAATATCCTCGCCCCAGCCCCCTTCTCCCTTGACAATGACTAATGACAGCTACTTCATCAAAAATTAATTAAGCTATTGACGATGCCATTAAAATAATATCCATCTAGTTGATAAAAACCAACTAAATCTTCCTCGGAAAATACATGTAAATCAGCAGGGCTCTCTGTGATAACGTTAATGCATGCAATAAGGTGTGTTTTCAAGAAAATTAGGTCACCATTATTATGAGGCTGACATCAGTCTTAGAACCGTGCATCATACTTGAATCATATCATTATTACAATAATTACTATTGACATAAACCCTAGGAAATGTAAGCTTTTATCAGTGCCGCCATCTGACTTGATATAATTGTTCTTCCGATATTTGACACTCGGTTAGATCAAAGTATTCATTTTTTGTTGGCACCTGTTGGCAAAATTCAAGATAAATGTTCACTTTTTAAATGTGCTCTTACTGTCTTTTAATCTTCGTTGTTTACCTTCTTTGACTTTTTTGTCTCCCTAGCCCTTTGCTTCAAACGTTTAATATTGAATCACTCTCGACCTTTCACGATTTGAAGCTTAAAACGACAACAAGCGAAACCTTCCTGAATCACAAGTTTCTTTGCGAGTCGCAGTACAGCAGCATTTTCATTGCCCAAAAACATATATCGGGTTATGGGGGTCTTGATCTGGGGCTGTAAGTTCTTCGACTTGATGACTGGACGCAATTTCTTCAGACGAAGAAAAATTTATCAGGCTACATGTTCAGTTATTTTTATTTGGAGGCTTTTAAGCAAGTAGTTTACTGTCAAGTTCTTAGAAAAAAACATTCATTTCACTCTTCCATTTTAATAAGTATACGGTATTGATTGTCATTTCCTGGTGTGCGCCTTTGTCATTCTTTCGCTTTCAAATACTTGGGATCTTTTTTAAGAACTGACATTAGAAAAAAAAACAGACAATTAGAAATTATGATTTCAATTATCAGCGCACCGAAAAGGAACACTGAAATACTATCAGCAGATCTCTTTAATTACACAAATCGTCTTCTCTCTGAACGGAAATAGTAGTGACTTGCACCATTTTTAATCAGTCAGAGTTTCAATAGGATTTGTTGTATAAACAGAGTAAACGAAGTACCAGGAAAACGAATTAACATTTTGGTTTATCGCGTGTGAACGACCAACTCTTCGAACAGCGGGGAGCGAAGTAAACCTGTTGGTTCCTTATCCGTCGAGAGCGGGATATGATCCATAGAGTTTACAAAAAAAAGATGACAAAAAAAAAAAAAGAATGACGACAAAGTTTTTTTTTTTTTCCAATAACGGTCGGAAAGGATGAAGACAAGCCACATAAACCACAAGGGAGGTATGGTAACCTGATATTAATTTCTGTTGAACGCAAGTCAGTAAGGTTTTCACATCACATGGGAAGACTCCATCATATCTACCCACTTTTTTACCAGTGTTGTTTCTTTCATGATCCAATTTAACTAAGCCACATTTATGAGTTTTAAAAAGTGTTTTATCCACTCCAAATGTACCCTTATTGTAAATTTGTAACTTGTTAATTGGTATTTCCCTCCCATTTGTGAATAACCGCCTGTTTCAACCTGTTCTTGCGGTGCTACGCTTTCATTACTTTATTGAAGTATACTCTGGCCTTAGGCAATCAAAGTTATGTTCGATCAAACAAATATTTCAGAAACTGATCCATGAAATACCCAACACTGGCCTAAAACTGTATTGAAGGCCTAAGAGTTTTTAATTAAATTTTTATTCTATCCAGCAGGGCCTGTTTGTTATTCAAACTGGTAATTCATGACAGAAGTTAGAACTTTGTTCTTTCCTTAATAAAATAAACCCAATGTACTGACCGCAAAATAACTGGATTTTATTTCACCGTTCATTTTATCCCAAACCGCTATCTCTTCCACTGATACACATGAAAAGAAGTTACAAATATTTCAAAACACAACATTCTATCATCGCCTGTATGATCAGATGGAATAAACAAATAAGACCATTCAGGTTTTTTAGATTTCGTATTGTTTGATGCGAAATATAACGATATCAAAAACTGAATATGCCGTTTAGTTCCGCAAACAACTGTACAAACTACTTCAAATGAAAAAAAATTCCAAACCGGATATTGGACGCATACGAATTTCTCTTGCCGTAGCTTTTCTAAGGTGTGTTTGGCAATTATTCCTTATGGCCTTTCTTTTTTTTATTTCTCCTTTGCCAAACGTAAAAATCAATTTAAAAAAACTTCGTTCCTTATATGCACCGTTTTTTTTTATCCATTTCGCACAATGAATATTTGAATCGCCCATTTTCCTAAAACTATTTTAAAGATGTTCGGGGAAATTTATATCTCATTGATTTTCGCCGACGCTCGGTGCTAAATGAAAAAATATTATGTACACCGTAAATTTTTTCTTTTTTTCTTTTTCTTTTTTAAGTATATCTTTGAAATCAATTGCTAGCTAGACTCTCGCGATCGGTGTAAATTACTTCGAGCAATCGTATTTCAATAGCGTTGAAATATTGTCTTTTGGTGCCATTGAAGCCTGTTCTGACGTGCTATTGAAAGCATCGAATTTAGCTTTTCATCTTCACATCGGCTGACAAAATATCTGTTCGAAAAATTTGTTTTCAACATTTAACAAATATTTTAAAACAAACCCTAAAATGAAAATAATTATGTCGCCGACTTTTAAATGTATTAATTCCCACGAGATCTTTTAACCTTCGTGTCAACTTTTTTCCTACCTACCTGAAAATGTAGATGATATGTCTAGATGTGGAACCGGCGCGGTGAATCCACTGACTCGCACCCGAAATGTGGGATATTTCTGTTGGCAAAGGCACGAGTGGATCCCATCTGAATGCGCGGAATTCATTCCCCGCTTTCGGAGAGTTTTTAGTTTCTTCGTTATAAAAACTCGTTGGTAATGGATCTTTGAGTTTTTCGTGCCAATATTCATCAAAATACTTGCTGGCGAGTGATTCCCTCTCGAACAGTCTGTAATTCGTGGCAATTTTTTTTACATATCGATCTTTTTCCTCGAGATTCGCAGTGCTTTGCCAGAACGCGTGTCCGCACTGCAGACCTTCAAAGCGCCTGAAGTTTTCGTCTCTAGTCTTGAAAAAGTGTAAACACTCGGTCTTGTTATTTGACCAACGCCGAGCCTTCAGTTGCAGTCCTTGACCCAAAGGAAAATACATTGTGGACAAAAAGATATCGGCCAAAGAAGGCGCTCGTACGTCCACAAAAATGATCATAGCTGACATCGTGAGAGTGACAGCTAAAGAAACACAAACTATAACAAGCCGTAGGCTTGGTAGAGGCCATGAAGATGAGGTCGCCGCCGCCGGCTTCACGATCGGTTTGGGGCTACAGTTTGTGATGCTAACCTTCTTGGCAATCATTTTCTTGGACTCTACAGTGTTGTGTTCATCACAGACCAGCCTCGGCTGCCTTCGACAATATGCCGTGTTCTGTGCGGAAAAAACTGACTCGGGCCTTTAGCGAATGAATACAGATTATTACTCAATAGCTCGCATTCGAATAGAATATTACTCGTACATAAAGCTGATACCAAAACCGAGAAATTTTGGTGAAAAAAAGAATATTTCCGCGTTGTTAGATAAAAAGTCTTTTGAAGGAAATCGACTCAAGGCGATCGTAATTCGAAACGGCGCCAGTTGTTGAGTGGTTTTCGCGATCAATTTGTGTCCGCTTTTTGGCTCTATCTTTACTTTTGTTCTATATTTTCATTAAAGCGCATAAATTACTCTGCCGTGAAAGCTGCATATTATTCTGGGGAGAATAGGAACGATGTGATTGGCTGAAAGGTACTAATAATCAGAGTATAAACAACACCCGTTCAATGAATGGAGCTACGACAGACAGAACAATAAAACCAATTTATGGAGCTCAAAACAGCTGTTTCGCGAGTAAATAATTTAAAAAAATTGACAACGGAGAGAAACACGCGCGTTTTTTCCGCAGATGAATACAGCTGTTTGGATTATTAAGATCTCTCTATAATTTGCCATAGAATTTTTGATAAATTCTGTAAGAAAGTCTCTTCCAATCTAGTCGAAAATTGTCGTGTTAAGTTTACAAAAACATGTAAGGCATAAACTGAGTCACGAATCTGCAATGAAATCTGCTCGTACTAATTCTTAAATAAATGTTGAATTCAGTTCTGAATTTTGGGGATTTCTGCCAAAAAAAAGGTCTTGGTGTTTCCTCAGGGAATTTAAAATGAGATGATTTAAATGGTCATTTTGGAAAACACTTGTTTCTACTTAGATTTGATTAATCCCTATTCTTTGGAATTGTTCAGCAATGAGGGAATCTATTTAAGCCCAAATGTCTTTTATAATCTCTTTCTCAGTTAATTGACATATTCTGTGGAGGTAAATGCGACATTTAAACATTTGCTTTCAAGTTTTGTTCCTGTTGTCTGTGAATCTAGGAGCCGATTTTGGTAGAATTTTCTAAATAATTATGAAACCAAGGGTGATAAATTGCTAACTCTAAACGCTCTAAACGCACAGCTGTCGGATTGCTAAAAAGAGCACAACAAGGAGGGGAAATGGAGATCTTATGTGTGTGAAGAAAGCTTTACTCTTCCGTCTGATCTGTACAACAAATTACTTATTTCTTTTGTTTAATTTTCTTTTACTAAAGAGCGGTACTTGGCAATAAATGACAGAGGAAGAGAATCCGACCATTATGATGCACTCAGGTTATTATCAATAGATTTTCCTTTTTATTCCTAATGAACCAACTTTCTTAAAGTTTTCCTTTATTTATCTATGAGAACTTCCTGTCTTGAGGAAAGTCATGCTTGCATATTCAGCGGTCATTTTTCCTGTCAAAACAAAATCAATAAACAAACTAAAAACCACGTATAAAATGCAAATATTCGTGATAACCAAAAAAAACGGTGTGTAATCTCTTCAAATTTAAGAGATAACTGAAGGTTTTGATCCAAATCTTACCTCGTCGGTTTTCATCTTAGACACTCAATATCCCAATTTAAATGAACTTTAATTCCTGATGAATACGAAGTAAATTTGGGTTTAAAATCTCATGATGTGGTATATTACAAGGTTGTGTGTGAACGGTAGAAAGTTTCGAAATAAAAGTACCCTATCCTTTACTGATGACGTTTGAACATTTGGTCGTGGGTTTGTGAAGAGACTATGTTTTAATAATTTTTATCAAAAATTAATTTCGAGAAAGATATTTTGTTTTTTTATACGTATTCACCGTGGATAACTGCGCTCAGTTTTAGATCAAAACAACCCAAGTTTTTACGAATAATCATAGAGGAAGGATTTATCCTTGATAAACATGAAACTCGTTATTTAAATTTCATTGAGATCACTTACATCTGCTTCATGCAATAAATCGAATTCTAAGCTTTCCCTGATTGGTTGTAACCTATCCTCTTTCAGGGTACAGATGTTTTCGAAAAATTTATCATTTTCTTTGCTGAGTGTTATCGCATTTTTCACACCTTCTTAAGCAAACTTAGCTAAACCAAACAGGAACAACTTTTCACAGCAAACCTAAAGGCTGGTTCCAAATTTTTCTCATTTTAATAGTCTTTTCATTACCATAGAGCAGATGCCGTTTGAGATCGAACAAGTAAGACGCCGAAATGAAGCTAAAACATTATTGACATATCCGCCCTAGCGTTCCTATTGCGATTTGTCTGTTTCCACGCCATGTCTTCTGAGATCTGCAGCTTAAAAGACTCAAGTTTAAAACGTAAATCGTTTGGTGAGAGCTAAGTCAATGAAGCAATTAGGTCAGTTTCGGTTAAAGAAAGAATTTAAAGTTTTGTCTCATTGAAAACCTATAAACGTTTATTACGAGCACGCAGCTTCCAAGCACCGTCCGAAACTTAAAATATACCTCAAAAATAACATGAGGGTTTGAATGATACACTTCTGCCTTTTCCCATTTCAACTATCGTACATTCATTTTTTATGAACTCAGCCTTCTGCAAGTTACCCCAAGCAAAATTAAAGCAGTAATCCAACTCTATTGTATGCGCAGACATGGTAATCTAGTAATGTCAACTGAGATGATAACGTAAATTGGCCACCGTTAAGAGTTTCGAAGGAAAGTGACATTCCGAGCGTTGGTCCTTCGTGAGCGCGAATCATTCCATCCGACTAACTTGAAACGTCATCTCCGAAACTCTTAACGGTGGCCAATTTACGTTTTCAACTCAGTTTAATGCTAATTTACCCTGTTATGCTCTCCCACCGACGCAGCACCAGTTTCTTTAGAAACTTACCCCTTTTATTGTATGTGCAGACAGTTTAATTAAAATATGATAGAGCGCAAAGGTAACTGCTGTCAGTGAGTTTCTTGTTAGTGACACTTTGGATATGCATAAACGACATCATACTGCGTCGTCCTTTGACGAACCTGAAGGAAGGATACGTTTTAACAGCACTGCTCACCAGTGGTCCCGCACCGCTCACCAATGGTCCAGAATCTAATAAACCCTCTGACATATGATGTCACCTGAAGAGCTCGATACTCACCGGAGCTTGCTACTGTCCAAGTTCATCTATTACAGATTTGGTTAATACACTAATGCTCAGTTATCAGTGGTCCAGCACTGATAACCAATGGTCCAGCACTGCTAACCAATGGTCCAGAATCTAATAAACCCTCTGCCATATGATGTCACTTTAACGGCTCGATACTCACAGGAGCTCGTCACTGTCCAAGTTCATCTATTACAGATTTGCATGATACACTAATGCTCAGTATGAATGTGTGGAAGATATTATGAACAACCTCGGTCCTTCAATTACGGTACCTATTATTCAGATAACCGTGAGTTTACAATCTTGATACAAAAGATTTTCTACAAAATACAAAATATACCCACAGGAAAAGTAGCTTTTTAGATTGATGATATAAACGATGTCTTAATTGTAATTAAGTGTGTGATAAAAAATTGTCTTAAACGCGCTAACAAACCTAAGTTAACCAGTCTCACCACTGCTAAGACAAAATTTTCACACAGACGCCAAAACTTTTTTTTGTCTCTGAGAAGCGAGTTAAACAAACTTTACAAATTTCCAGAAAAACAGAAGAAACATCCATCACAAGAGGAGAAGGCATCTCCATCAAATTTTGGACTCTTCCGTCTGGATTTGGACGATTCTGTCTCATTTTGAACGCTTTCGTCCGATTTGGAATGTTTATTTCGGACGCTTTCGTCTGATTTTGGACGTTCCGTCCGATTTCGGACATCTCCTTCCAATGTTTGAGCAGATTTATTTCTTGACCTCTACCCTCTAACCTTTAACTCTTGGCAGACCGTAAAGAAAATATCTTCAGCACTCCTTGAGGGAATTCAACTTGGGCAATATATGAACAGGGGCTCGTAAAAAGAAGTCTTAAAAAGGCCCTTTCATTCATAGCTGCATACATATAATGCTTCATTCCGGTCATTCCGTGAATTGTTTTGCGTGTGAATAAACAAAGGGGGCAAAAGATTCCAATGACGTAGATAATCAAGGGTATCAATTGGTCACCACATAACTGACAGAAACTGCAAACGTTTCCAGCAGTGCTGGTCTATAAACCAAGTTCACAACTACGTGGCTTATTATCTTTCTTTCTCTTTTGGGAATTTTCACAACATACCTAGTGATCCAAAAGGTAAGCACGAGGGAAGTGTTTAGACTTGTCTTCTTAGAGTCATTGACTATATTAGGGTTATATTGCAGAGGCTGTCTACATTCGAGTGCGAGACTTGTCGATTTGTTGATCAACTTGATTACAACTCGTTTTACTCCACTCTGTAGATTCTTTAGTAATTTGAGCAATTGTTCTACTTCAGTACAGTCCAGGCTGGATGCCTCTTTTAAGACTTAAAAATTTCTCCAATTATTCTGATCTCGGCTTTTCTGGACACTCAATCCAAAGCCTAAAAGGGTACAGCTGTGGAATACAAGGTTTATGGGAACCAATTGTGAACGCTTTGTAATGAGAACAGTAGGCGCCATTTTTATTCAATTAAACTTGCATAGGAAGGAGCTAAGTCTAAGTAATTATTTTCTTTAGAAATCTTTGTGCTTCGTCAGCAAGTTTATGAAACTGGAAATCGATAAAGACAGAAAGTAGATCAATCACCGTGGAGAATTTTTAAAAGCTGAGTTTTCGAGCCTTAATTCACATTCGGGGCGAATTCGCGATAATTTTAAGTTCGTTAAGTTGTCTGTGACGTTACATGCAGATCAGCACCTTTTTCCAAATACAAAGGACATTGGTAAATAATTAAAACTTTCAATAACAGCAAATTAAAAGACAAATCTAAGAGTAATCTGCTGGTTTTCTTAAGGATAACATATCTTTAGACTCAATTACTACACTGAAAGGTTAATCTGCACGGAACACTCCTCGCATGACATTATTCATGCAAGCTTTGAGACTGCTCTTGAATTAACATGTCTTATAATTCCTAATCCTGATTGAGTCACCGCTATAATTCATTCTTCGAACTATCCAAACTGATTTTTTCCAGTTTTGAACACAATAACTTTCTTCTTTTTATTGTAGATGCCAAATTCTGAGCGTATTTCTTTACCTGTACTGGGTGTATTTTCACAGAAATGCTTATTTTTAAATAGTGATAACTGACGAAAATGAATTAGATTTTTATTGTAATGAGTTTATTTGATTTTGACGAGAGACC